TCCAAGCACCCGTAAACTAGTCCAAGAAACAGTAAAACCCCTAAATTCCAAGCTCCGTAACTAGTCCAAGAAACGGTAAAATCCCTAAATTCCAAGCACCCGTAAACTAGTCCAAGAAACAGTAAAACCCCTAAATTCCAAGCNTCCAAGCACCCGTAAACTAGTCCAAGAAACAGTAAAACCCCTAAATTCCAAGCACCGGTAAACTAGTCCAAGAAACGGTAAAATCCCTAAATTCCAAGCACCCATAAACTAGTCCAGAAAAGGGTAAAATCCCTAAATTTCAAGCACTCGTAAAGTAGTCTAAAAAACGGTAAAACCCCTAAATTCCAAGCACTCTTAAACTAGTCCACGAAAACCATAAATTCCAAGCGCTCGTAAACTAGTCCGGTAAAATCCCTAAATTCCAAGCACCCATAAACTAGTCCAGAAAAGGGTAAAATCCCTAAATTTAAAGCACTCGTAAAGTAGTCTAAAAAAGGGTAAAACCCCTAAATTCCAAGCACTCTTAAACTAGTCCACGAAAACCATAAATTCCAAGCGCTCGTAAACTAGTCCAAAAAATGGTAAAACCCCTAAATTCCAAGCACTCATAAACTAGTTCAAAAAAGGGTAAAACCCTAAATTCCAAGCACTAGTAAATTCTTCCAACCAAACATACAAATTTTAATTTCTTTGACGAATTCCACTCTGGTTCCTGCCAACCAAACCTGTGGTCTAACAAGATTAAATTCCATTCCAATTCCTTTGACATATTCCATTTTTGTGAACCAAACACCGCCCTGGAGTTCCAAGTCGTAAATGACGTTTTTTCACACTTACATCTCATTCGTGCAGGATTCTCTTTAACTACTTCTATCGATTTCGACTGATCTTTAGCTGTCGTCTCCTAACAACCTCAATACAAATCTCATCTTCCATTATATGCATTCCACAGTTTACATCATGACTTCGAGTCTCTTTAGAGACGTGATCGTGTGGGTGTTTATACAACACAGAGAGATGTTATTAGGACACTAACAGTCATCTTTTTTTTTCTCTCTGACAAAAGGTGGTAGCATTTAGTTACATGTTTAGAAATGCAGAAGGCAAAAAACATGTATTGATTTGTCATTGAAAGGACTAGCAACAGTGGTTAGGGTGGTAGAGTGAAATTCATCATAAATGCTTCTAACTTACAATGACATTGACACTGTAAACTGTCATCATACCTGCAATCAGCTACTGTTGCAATATATGAAGCACTTGCTAGGCTTCCAAGGGTAAATCAGCCTCATTCTCTCCTGGATTTAGTTGTATTGCTTCACTAGTTGTACAATCTGCAAAAAAAGTTGTATATTTTTTCCTACTGCATCATCCAGAAACAAGAAACAGATGAAATTACAAAAAAAAACCTCATCCAGATGAAATTTCTAACGAAGGCCAGGCCTCCTGATGTTCATTAAATAAGAGGGTAGTAATTAATAATGTTTCAGGAGTTCAGGAAGTTTTGAACCTTAATCTCTTTCAAAATTTAGAAGCAGTCTGAGTCACCCGTATCTAGTCCACCCGAACCCGGCTCAGCCCTTTAGCCTGACAAGTCTCAATGGCCATAAAGATATCACAAGTAGTAAAAATCTCAAGAACAAAACCATTTTTTCCTACTTTTACCAAACCATAAGAGCTTCATTCATTATAAGCATTTATGCAGCTCAAAACATATCTTATTTATGGGGGTCTTGCTCATAGAATCTAGCCCCACAAACCATCACCAAACCATCACCATCACCATCACCGGCCACAACCCCACTTTCTCCTGCCACGATGAAGAGCTCATTTTTCAGCCACAAGGTTCTGGCAGCCACTTTTCTCTGTTGCCTAATTGCAACACTCAAAGCAGAAGCAGAAGCAACGTCTCGTGAGAGCCATCCAGAAGGCGACCATAAGAATCATCATCATCATCAGCCTATGCGAATTCCTAACCCTCATAAAAGGCACCCTTGCTTTTGTGTCCGGTGTCGACTACTGTATGAAATTCCACTACCACCACCCATCTTACTACCTGAAGGGATTAATACCAGATTCTACGCGGAAAAACGATTTGTTCCTGGTGGGCCCAACCCTCTTCATAACTGAAATTTGTGTTCATCTAAGCTAAAGCTATAATACATCATCTACTGTTTTCTGTACTTCTCTAAAGGTTCATGTACAACTTTACTGAAGTTACATGTTATGTAATACACACCCGGCTGAAGTTTAGAAGCAATCCGACCTGGTATTCCGATTCAAGAGCTCTTACCTGTTTATTAGTTGATTCTTAATGATTTGCTATTTGTTCGTTGACTTGTTTTGCTTTAAAAAACACACAAGTTTTCATCTAATTAGCACACAAGAGTTCTCCTGGGTTGATTTGGTTGGACTTGAATTGGGGTGTTGGGGGTGGAGGGGACAGCATTTAATACAGATTAATGCAACAGAATTTTCTTGGGTGCACAAATATCTATATCTTACACAATAGCCTGTAAACCTGCTTGACCCAACCAATTTACTGTGCAATAAGTACCAGAATCCCCCCTCCCTCCTCCCACCCCAACCCATGAACAAGCCTTCTGTGCCACACTATATTGTGGTAAAGAATCACAAACCATAGAAAACACATTTAACACAGATGTAATCTAAGAAATATTATTTCATATGTTGATCCATTTTTAAACTTATCATTATGTAGTTGGTTATTCCTCATCATTGATTGATCCATCCCCTCCTGCTATTGTGGCTAACTACAATGACCATAATAAAACATTTTGCTCATTAGTTCATATGATCTCTATGCAAATAGGTACGAATATGTTCCTTTGTTGATAAGCATGGTTAATCATCATTTGTACACTGCTATATAAAAATAGGGAAAACCATAATCTGAGAGTATAAAAAGATTTACGGTTGGTGTCACATCTTTTTGTCTATAAATAAACAGAGGTGGTTTATTATGCAACCTCTCTAATTGTTACAACCAATGCAACCAAATCTTAGCCATCCTATTTGATCAGTTGAAAAAACTACCCTTGATTAAAAAAAATGGGCGGTTGTAGATGAGGTTGTATGGCTTGTAAGAATAGAATAAGAAGAGTTGTATTTGATCGGTCCTCTAACATATATATACATACATACACATGTGTACATTTGTTTGATATACATTACTGAGATTCAGATTCTTTGACATATATGCAAACATTTTAACATATTGATGAGCTCAAGGTAGACAAAAGTGAAAACATGACAAAACGAGAGCGCAATACCTTAGTGTTAAAGCAATCTCAGACACTATCAGAATTGCACTAAAAGCATATTGCTCAAAGATTGAATCTGTAGTGACTGTTCAAATAGCACAAAATCTTTTCTATATGGTGCCATTCACATCCTTGTTTGATGGAATTCTAAGCGTTAATATTATGCAAACCACTGGCACGTCTTAATATTTAGTTATGAAGCATCAAAGCTAACGAGCACACTATTGAAACCATGTTATCTATTTTGTACAGAGGTTCAAAATCTAGAAACTGGATTAAAACTAACAAATTCAAGTTCTTTAATGGTGTGATTTGCGAATGTGTGCCCCAGTACAAACTGAGGGCCTGTTTGTCAGCAGCTTAAACTCACAATTCATTCGGTCCGCTATACATGACTGTTTGGTAGTGGCTTCATGATATAGGAAGTGGCTTATTCAATAAGCTTCTGGGGGGAGCTTTATACAGAAAGCCAAGTTTTTTCTTAACTTGTCCCTCCACAATTAAAAAACACACTACTTCCACATGAGAAAACCCTCCCAAAAAAAACCTTCCTAATCTATACGGACAGATTAATCCACACTGACAACGTTATCCATACAGGACTTAATGAAAAACCAATCAAACAGCCAGCTGAATCTTTGACTAAGATGCCGATAAAAGTACTCCAAATCAAATCAATATCACTAGTCAGCTTTTGCTAGCATATTAAAGCTGAAAGCAAAAGATCCAGTTCAAGGAAATCAAGTTATCAATAGACTCCTCTTCCCTAGGAAGAGAAAACAAATACAACAATCACTCAAAATGTTGAAATGAACTCAGTAAAGAATGAACTTATGATGAAGTAAAGCAGGTTATATCATAGACAATACCAACAACAAGCTACAAAATTTCCTTTACGATGGAAACTCCAATCTCAAATTCCATGCTGCAGAACACTACCTCATAGACACACCCATCAGTGTGAATCTCCAATCTATAGTTAATCCATCCTTAGATAAACCCATGAGGAAACAGAACCAGAATTATATTTCCAAAACATCAGGTACATAGTCAAACAAATTATTAGGCTAAATAGAAACTCAAAACTCTGAATACATTTCTCTGGAAGTCTATAAACTCAATGTGTATAAATTGCTAATTGCATCAGTTTTTTTGAGAAACCCTAACAGCAAAAATCAGATACCGTTTGAACAAATCAAGGTTTGATATCCATGATGCTTTTGACCTTGGGAGCATAGAGTGAATAAACAACAGCTTGTCTTTTGGCAACCTGAAGCTGAGACTTGCCGTCGGTGAAGGCGGCGGCGATAGATGACGGGTCTGATAAAGTCTTGTTGTCACGGAACGAGTCAATTGTACGGCGCTTTGTGTACTCTCTGATGTTGTAGTCAGAGAACTCACGAGCTGACCGGAGAAGTGAGCGAAAGAGAGAGATGATTTCCGTCCGAGTCGGCGGTGGCACGGCCGTCGCCATTTTTATCCGGCGAAAGAGAAAGGGGTTTGCTGTGGTTTTCCGTTAATTATTCCTTTTTTATTTTCTCAATGTATATCATAGATCATAAAACTTACAGTAAACTACAAATTTGATCCTTGTAGTTTGTCAAAAGTAACGGTTTTCATACCTACAGTTTTCAAATTACAAGAAAGATTTGTAAAAATGTCTGGCTTTGGTCCTTCTTTCTAACGGCTGTTAAAAGATTCCATTAAATGATAGGTATCAGGTAAAACGTAAAAGATAGAAAAATCAATAAAAGAACAAAAGGTTCCTCATTTAATGAAAAAATTCGACGGCTATTAAAGGGAGGGACAAAATTCGAACGTTATTGTAAACCATAATGGTTATCTTGTAATTTTTTAAAACTATAAGGACAAAAAGTGTTATTTTTGATAAACCACAAGAAGAAATTTGTAGTTTACTCTAAAACTTAATTGCATGTTAGTCCCCAATGTTAAAAAAAAACTAGTTCATTTTCACCCTCCAATTTAGAAGGAACTAAAATGTACCAATTGGTGCGTTTGGTATGCAGACTACATGGGACAGGATGAGACAAAAAAAGTAGTCCTATGTTTGGCATGTCATGGACAAAAAAAACATAGGACAAGGTGAGACTATTTTTAATTTTAGTAGGACAAATCTTGATATTTCTTGTTTCACCAAAAAAAGGTGGAACAACATGAGACTAAAGTTAAAATGAAAATATTTTGATTGATTTGTTGTCATTTTACAATCATTATATGATATAAAATAACATTGAACAACATTTAGGGGTAATATGATCATTTTAATAGTTTTGTCATGTTCTGTCCTAATCGTACCAAACATAGGACAGACAATTAGTCATGTCCTGTTCCGTCCTGTCTCATCCAGTCTGCGTACCAAACACTACCTTATAGAACACACTCAAACACTATTATTAGACTCGTATTGACTTGTAATTTAATCTATTTAGAACATAGGACAGACAATTAGTCCTGTCCCGTCCCGTCCTGTCCCGTACCGTCCCGTCCTGTACCGTCTCATCCTGTTCCATCCAATCAGTGTACCAAACACTACCTTACAGTTGTGAATGGGTTCTCATATTGATGTTCGTTAATAACCTCAATTTTTATTAAGAATAGTGGGAATTATCAAAAATGTGTTAATGTGTTATTATTCATGGACAATATATTAATTATAAATGTTAATATTTATTATAAATATTATAACATTTATTATTAATGTTTATATTAATGATTAATGTTACAAAAGATTCATTTATATAAGAGTAAAATGTATGAAACAACAACCTATTTATACATTTTTTTTATTATAACATTGTATTTTCAGTTTTTATTATTACAATAATGTACTTTCAAAAATTTACTTGTTATAGCGTTGAGTAATTTTTTAAATAAAATTTACTCATTATACCAGGATTTTTGCCACCTCATCGTCCACCTAGGTTATCCACATGTACGATGGTGCTGACATGACATTTTTTATTATAGCATCGCCAATTTCTATTACAACATTGTACTTTTAATTATAATATTTTTAACATTTAAATATTGTAAATTTAATCAAATATGTTAACTAAAAATTATAATATCAGAAATTAAACATGTTTACAAAATATCACTATTTTACGAATAAAAATATTTATAAAAAAATAATGTTTGAATTGTACACATGTTTAATTTATGATGTTAAAATTTTTATGAATATTTTTATTATTAGAATTTCTGATATTATAATATTTATGAATATTTAGAATTTCTTCATGCATTTATTTCACAATTAATGACAAATATGATAATGACAATCAACAACAATAATTAAAAAAAATCTTTTCATCGTGATCTCTCTCAAATATTAAATATACAATGTAGAATAAACAAAATATTGTTACCAAAATTATGTAGTTTTATTTGTAGTATATAAATAATTTATACTTACAGAAAACCATTCAGAAATACTGATTGTAACTCAACCGATCTCATGTCTTTTGTCCCAATTTCTCAAAATTACAATTGCTATGATTTTTGACTAAAACAATTTGTCATCTCGATACACAATTTACATCCTCACACCAGGCTAATAGAAGATCCCAACGACATGATCAGTTACAAACGTTATTCGTTGTACCGTAGGAACTCCCCGGGACGTTGACGAGAAGTTCATCATCAAACGTGTTGTTTTCATCATGATCCTGAAATATTTTTATGAAATAATGGTCGGCACAAACACAAAACACGTGTTTTTATACTACAAATACGCACACAAACCATCTTCGATAACTCTTGAACCTGCTATATATAAGTTCTTTTGGTAACTATTGGGTATTCAGGCCAACTTGCACGCATCTCGATTAATCCCATGGCTTTGAAAATAACAGTGACCTTAAGGAGACTTAAACTGACAACCTATGAGGAGGACTTCAAAGCCTAGTCTTTATTGGTTACTTGAGGTGGAATCGGATTTGGTATTATGCATACATCTTGTATCGATTTGATTATTATATGTACATGTGCAACACATTAGAAGTTAATAGAATATAAAAATTATGTGTAAATATGTGGAACCTACAAGATTACACACCAAAAAAGCAGTTGAGTAGAGATAGAAGATTCCAACATATACAGAGGAGAATTGGATGATCCACATCGAGCCGACATTGGACAACACTCCCCTTGCAATGGAGGCTAGACGGACAGATAGCCCAGATATTGTAGCGGCCAAAGTGGCATGAATCACATGTGATTTTTACACATGATTTTTAGTATAAAATCACATCTGATTCAACTGTTTTCTTATTCTCTTATTTGATCCATTATTCTTGTATGAATCTAACTATCTTTCTATATACATATAATCTAACATATGCATATATAAGTTTCAACCGTGTCAGAGATTATTTCTAAGATTAAAAATCTGTCAGATGCATTATTTTGAGTGCTCTTATTCAGATTATAAATTTGTTCAAGTTTTCAACATGTCATTCAGTTAAATTATCTATTTTAATTTAAAAATAAATCATAAATGTGTAAAATTAGGTTATCATAAAATGGGTAAGCATAATTAACAATTATTGATTAGCTACTTAAATGTGTAGGGGGGGATACATCTGCTATACAAATTAATTGAAAGGAGGAATATTTCATAAGCCTTTTTTTTAGGAAAATGAAAGTATGATTTCATCTCTTTTAGCCTTGTTGACATATCAATGACCCAAAGTGACATGTTCCATTTGGAACCTAAAATTGATTAGGAGCCCGGAAACCGTCCCACATGATATTCTCATAAAAAATATGGATATGTTATTTATCATGAATGTGTGATTCATGATGAATAACATGTCTATAACACCTCTATATTCGTCATGAATGTGTGATTCATGACAAATAACACTTTCATGTTCATTATAATCAATACTCATCCTGAAGAGGTACACATGACGTGCTTTGTTCCTAATTAACTTTGGGTTCCTAACGTAACTTCCCTCCAAACCCAAAGGCCTTTAACAATATTTTTTTTCCATCAATATTAATGAAATAACCTCATCTCCAGATGTTCCATAAGCCCGTGGTCTTCATGGAAACAACCTCTCTACCGTTAGGGGTAGAGGCATGGCCTGCGCACATCATACCATCTCAAGACCCCACCGCCATATGAGATATACTGTGTACGTTTGGTTTGGTTTGGTTTCGTTTTTCCTAATGTGACAAGTCATGGCTCAATTTCCACAGCCAATATAATAAATATGCCAATAGAATGAAGCACAGTACAAAGTATCAGAAACAGGAAGATCAAGAAGCTAAAAGAAACCAACCTTTTCTTCGGTGATCTTTGCAGCGTCCTGAACGGCTTTGAGCTTTGCCAGCATGCGGTTAAGTTGTTTCTTAGCCTTTGCTCTTTCTGAGCGTCGTTCAGTGCATTGAGCAGCAGTAACTTCAGCATGACACGCAACACAAAGGGTCCTCATGTTCTCTAATCTGCATTCACCTGCAGATGGATATTATAAGTAAATGAAGTAGAAGTTTCAATATTGGGTCTACTAGGATGCGTGGCAGTCTGAGGCGGATCCAGAAAAATTTACTAACGGGGGACACAAAATAGGAATTGGAATGCAGTAATATCGATTCAGATGGAAGAAAAGGTTCTCAACTGATTCAAACACCTTGTCTATAGGAATTAATATAATATAAAACAAAACAAAAATAAGTCATAAAATGTACAGACTTGCGCTGTAAATACAAAATGACATACAAGTGATTTTTTCCAACACCCAAGTGGTTTTTTCTTTTTTTACCAAAAAATTAAAAAAGAGCCAAACGGATTCAAACTCGCAACCAATAATGTCACATGCAATGACACTACAGATAGGTTGCAACCTCCTTTTGTTAACTTAAGGGAGCACACAACAAATTAAAGCAGGTGTAGTGCGCCTTTAAGACTTCTAATTTTTTTCCATTGCATTGGGACGACAGGGCGGGGCCCTAGGCTATTACTGAATCCTCCCCTGGTTGCAGTTTTAGCTATAATAAGATTTAGTAAAACTAATATGGAAAAGGTGAAGTTTTATAAACCGATATACCGAATAATAATTTCAGCAATAAATTGCTTATACATTATGCTAAATTCAAGCAATAATTTAGGATACCTCCCCCTCGATATACAGGCACAATATGATCTGCATGCCATGCATTGCCCTCAGATGGATCACTGATGAGCTTTTCAAGTCTAGAGAAAATAAGAACAGAGATTTATCAGGGATATGATTCGATCTAAACACAAGAAATATGCAACACATCCATCCATGTACCATAATAGATAAGCACCCTCCTAAAACCAGGAAAAATGTTTATATACAAATTGATGTTGTAGGATACTTCAATGTTAGTAGAAGTCTTCTAGTGAAGAAATGTTTCGATTCCCATTCAATGGAGTTTAAGTACCAAATAAGTTACATGTAAAAAAGAACTCCTCAGAGCAATATCATTTGAATGTGTTGGAGTCATATATCAGCTAGACTTGGACCATTTCTCCTGTATATATGTTGGAACCTCCCCTTTCTCCTCAAGAGCTCTTTTGGAGAGTGATCTGGAGGTTCCACATATTCTCACATAATGCTCCCTAGATTTTACTCATGCATACTCCATACAACCACATATTTCCAGAAAATGGAGAAAGCCAAGAATTTGGTTGGAAAATTTATAGCAATGCTGGATTACTCAAGTACTGGATACATATTTAGGTTATAGGAAAGTGAGGCTAAGGTTCAACATGTTCAATTCCAAATGCAACTATTATACATGAATGACAGGATGCAAAACCAAAACAAACCAAAGGTACCCGGTCTATCCCACTCGAAAGTAGGGCATGGATGTATGTATACCTTTCCTCTACCCCAAGGGATAGAGATGTCCCTTTCGTGAATACCCCCAGCTTGCAGAAAAGCTTTTAATAGACGGGAGGGTTAGAGAATTTGTCAGAAAGTGTTTTATAAGTCCAAAAAGAATGCGTAATTTGATGTAACAATCGTAAATGTCTTGCCTCAAGGTTTTGAGGGTCTAAAAAGAAGAAAATGTGATCATGTGCATTAAGTTGAAAGCCTTGAATTTGCATCCAAAAAATCAAAGGCCCAAGGTTTGAAAATGAGCAATTGAGATAATGACTTCCGGTAGAACAATATTGTGCATGCAGTTACGGATTAGTTATTCAAGCAGGACTACAACAGATTAGAACAGTTCAGTTGCTCATTTCCTTCTATTGAAATATTGCTATATTCAGAAATGGAATGTGATATTGTGATAAAACGGCAAATAAGCCAACGTGAGAGTATTGACATATGAACTCACAAACTTCGACGAGCTGCCATCTTTGGTGCTTCTCTCATAACAAACTCTCTACGTTTCTCAAGTGACAAAGGTTTGATGTTCTTCACAAGTTTGCGGCAATCGAGATGGCAATTTGTACATATGCCATGTTCAATCTGGGCAAGCCCCTGCAAATCTCATGTCAAAACTAGAATAAATAGTCAACCTACAGGAAAAGAGAAAAAGAAAAAGAAAAAATGATACAATCTCCAAGATGACATTTGGAATAAAAATACTGACCTTACGTAGGTATCTATTACTAGTTCTTAAACGATATTCTTCATAGCACTCCAAATCACAAAAGAAGTCCTCAAAGAATTCAGGCTCCTTGGCACTCTTCTTCCTGGAAATGTGGGTAGACTTAGTTGCATCCTAAGGTCAAATTTTTATGTTAACTGCTATTTTTGACTTACTTGCAAACTTTTTGACACAGTTTACAGAGCGGCTCACCAAGGAGTGTCCAACCCTGCAGGTAATGTCTCTCTTTTTTGCCATGAAAAAGAGAAACACTCTTCCATACAGCATTTGGGGGGAGGGGGTGGCTTATATCATCTAGCGACGTACCACGCTTCTTACTTCCTCCTTTTAGCAATCCCTATTTGATAATAATTTAACTGTTACTCCAAATATGTACATACATACATTTGTATACGATAAACAAAGGTTTATATATGGTATTTATAGGTGCATTGCATGATACAAGACGGATAGATACCCAGAAAAGAATAAAGAATTTTCAAACAAACCTCTTTGTCATGGTTTTGGCTTTCATTCAAACACAACTCAACAGCCAAAGGAAGTTGCAGAGGCTTGTTGTATAATTTACTTTGCTCAATAGGTCTGAGACTGTTCCATTCTTTAACAAAATACACAAGAGCAGGCCTGTATATTAAATCGTAATTGATACATTTACGAGCCAGTTTCTTGCTGTCATGAATTGGAGGATCTTTTGTCTCAAGTTCCTCTGGTCGGAAATTTTTAAATAATGGGGTAGGCCTTGCTTCTACTCCCAGGATACATGAATACAAGTGGATTCTTCCAGTGTATTTGCTGACCTGAAAAGGGTTAAATTGATTAAAAACAATTAGGGACATTCAGTGGTGACAGCTCAAGTTCATACGGGGACTAGATAGACAACTATGTTACACAGGTCCGGGTGTGGTGGTGCCCAATTCTTTTAGGAATTCTAGCAAGGTCAATTAGATGAACTACACTACAAATTTGGGTGGGCCGAGACGATGATAAACTTAGAAAGAAAAAAATCCTAAATAATGAAGACGTGTAAAATGAAGTAAATACACTAACACAGCTTGGAGAATGTATAGTAAAACATACCCAACTTGTCACATAGTTGGTTAATTTGTGATCTGCAAAATGGCTTTGCCCAAAATGCAGACAACATGATCTCCCATAATACCCAAACAAGCGAAATGAAGATAATTTTTTTAACACTATTGGTGTGCTTATGAAATACTTGCTTGGTAAGGAGTGTGCATGGCAACTTTATTGTCACAATAAATTCCCATTAAACTAGCTAAATAATCACCTAGCTTTTTTGTAAAATGTCATGCAAGATCACTTGATATAATAAAGAAACTACATGTTTCTTGCTCTTCCAATTGTTTTACAAAAAAAAAACAGAGTAGCCTATTGTAGACCTCATGCTATAAGGACAACCCTTCGAGGCTAGAACCAGAATAACCCCAAGTTTGTCTAAAAATAACCTCTTCGTGGAGGACCCTTGAGATACCTTGGTGTGCATAATATTGCATTGGATCGTCAGTCTCACCAAGAAAGCAATATATGGTCACAAACAGTGATACAATTCAATTTCTCTACTAGTCAGCTATACTGCCATTAGACACTGAGTTCCCCATCATCTCAATAAGGCTTGACATTAGGGCCATGTGTAGCAACAATAAGTTTGCTTATTTATTGACCTTATTGAAAAAACCCCATTTGGGAAGTAGCATTTCAATAAGCTCCAGGGGCTTTTTTCACTTATGTCCCTTATATTTTTCCAATTAATTTTTCAACTTGTCCTTCTAAGTCATTTTAAATTATTTTAAGTTAGCTTTTACCAAACATGACTAGTTTATCAGTTAGTTATATCAAGCACAGCTAGCTTATTTGCTAGTTTGCCAAACATAGCCTAGAATCAGCAAAGAACTAGCCAACTGTCAAGCATACCAATCTCAGTAAGGATATCTAAGACACACTTCATCTGGCATACAAAGATGTCCGTATTTGAGGTTTCTTAGGTCTTTAATTTGAACTTCCTTCTTACTAAAAACACTTTTTTTGGGGGTGCTATTTTAAGTAATATAAAGATATGCACATATGGCAAACTCTATAGCCTTCCTCCTAAACTGGAAAACCCGAAGCCAGCTCCATATAGAACAACATTAAGAAACGCCATGAATCTTGATACCAAACTGATGCACATCGGTGATGGACAGGTACTAATGTCTTAGCAGCAAGGCTAAACGTCTCCGCATTATTTTCTAAGTAGCCTTTAGCTACTAATCTGGCCCTCAAATGAGCAAGATAGTCACCCCAAGGAAAAAATTTCCCTAACATCGTTGCAGATAAGCTATCATTTCAAAGTGTGGTCATAGCATAGATATCCTTTGTGGCCTATGAAATATACAGCTTAATGAGCTAACATCAAGTTTACCTATACTTGATGTAAAAATCTTTGCACCACCAGGAAAGTAAGGTGTTAGGAAAATTTATTTTCTAAAACAGAAAAGGCAAGTAATTGATAAGGAACAATTAGCACTCACGTCAATAGAAACATTACTTTCTAAAATGCACGATGGCTTGCTAACTTGTGAAGATATACAAAGAAGGATTAAAGCATATCCCCTTCACGTTTTACTAAGATCCCAAGTTTCTCATACTGTAATTCACATCACAGAAATAGCTCAGTGTACAGATAAACATCCATAAACATGCGTAAGCATTAGACTTGTCTGTAAGAACAATGTCTACTACATTAACACACCAAATACGGTTGAGGGCATCCATAAGCAAGAAAATTGAATCTAAAATCAGTTCTATACCTCAAAGCGGAGAGAATGTGCTGGGATGCAATCTGTGTCAGCTTCAACCTGGTCAATAGGCTCCCCATCACTTGGCAGTTCCATCACATTAGACTTGTCAGCCTCATGTGAAGTGTGCGGAAGAACTCTATTTTCCCGCCTACCTTCATGAATATATTCTTCTACTGTTCCATTAGGAGCCATAAGCTCTTCATTATTTACATCAGGAGCGATAAAAGCCTGTAGAGCAATTAAAATTTTGATGCAGCGACAATGGGTTCAAACAAGCCAGATAATTAACCTAATGCTAAGAGCACCAAAAGGAAGTTGTAATTAAAAGGGAAGTGTAGCAACGTTTGGAAGTACATTGTTCTTGTAGCTGTACTTGAGATATGAATCACTGCTATTTGCATCTTCATTTCTCGAAATTGTAGTTCCATCAAAGACTTCATCAGACTGCATCTCTTCACCACACGAATACTGAGAGCATCTCACTAGCTCAATAGAAGAAGATTCACCATCATTTTCCCCCTCAAAGAGCAAATTCTCTGTTTTGTCTCTTCCTTCAATAGTTTCAAGTAAAGAGACATCTTCCACCTGCAAAAGTAAGAAAATCAAGTCTCAGAATAAATATAATCCACAAAGCATGCAGGACAAAAAATGAGTGCTTCCATCCACCCTTAGAGAGAGAGGCCACTTAAAAGTCCAGATGAAATTTAAAGGAGTCATTCATGGACAAATATTTACTTAACTAAATACAAACATAAGTACAGAAATCATGTAAATAGTCGTTTCTAGTAGGATTGGAGCATGCTGAAAATTATTATTCCCTCTTTTATATTGGAGAGATTCGAAGGCTGGACTTTTCTTGGTTTAGGTGAATTTTAATCATTCAGACTCCTTATCACTTATCCTGCTGTCTTTTAATCATCATCTTGGAATCTGAGTTGTAGCAAATTGGTATTAGAGCAATTGACCTGGTTCAATGATGGTGCCCCGAGAGTGGATCCTGTAACTCCAAGGGTGAAACGGTGGAGGAAGAAATAGCCGCAGTTAGACCTCCTGGGTATAGGTTACAGCAAGCTCTTCAACAACAACTTATTTCCCACCAAGTTCACCCCTTTTGATTATTCTTCTTATGTTGGACCTTTTCCCTTCTCCTTGCATAAAGGAAGGTGGGTGTGTGGCAAAGGTGTAGTGGAATTACTTGTATAATGCAAGAGAATAACCCCAGGGCTGTAGCAAAGCGCATATGACTATCCAACTTGCCTTGCATGGCCTTTAAGTTTGGAATTTTAAAGAACTTCATTCCTTACTGTATATATTGATGGGAGCATATTTATATGACTTCATTTGTGATCCATGAGTAGAATCTTATATCTATAAACAGGAAGCAGGAAAAAAAGAAGAATATACTAAAGAACGAAGAATCACAACAAGCTAAAATAAATTAATAAGAATTGCAAAAGCAAAGTTGAGTAAGATGCCAAAACGGGCTATAAACTCTACAAGGACATAGGACATAAAAATTTATTCTTAGGAGCTGCTTGGTTGGGGGGGNCAACTGTCCGAAATGTAATTGGTCTTTGCACATATGCTAAAAATGGAAGTCTGAAAAGATTAATGGGATGGGGGGGGGGGGGTATTAGAGGGTGAGGAATGAGAATGAATAATGGTGTTTGGGTCAATATAATGCAATGAGTGATTACTTAAAAGTGGGTAATCATCCATACCCTAGTAAATTTTGGGGATGACTTTTCATTCCCTAACATAATCATTCCTTAACATAATTCCCATTTCCATTCCCTTAAAACAAACCAAGCGCCCCCTTAAAAGAAATAGATGAAAAAGAAGGAAGGATGTTCTGAGCCCAAAAAGAAACAGGAATTGCTTTACTAGTACTTATATCCCTTGTACAAATTCTGGAGAACAGGGCACATGCTGGAGTTTGAACCATCTAATATAGTTAAATGAGATACAACTAACCAAAAGTAAATTCCAAAAATTGATAAAGGGAGGTACCATGATCTCCTTCAATGAACCATACTTCCCATCTACAGTAGATGAAGTACGATGCAAACTTCTATTCAATCTTTTCCAATGGGACTCATCCGAAGTGTCCTGGAAAGAAATCACCAATGCTCAAGACACTTCAAAAACTGAATCATACATGGGCCCAAACAATATAGATACTAGATAGATGAGAATGAGCACCTTGGCACAAAATATATAAACGTTGACTGCTTTAGTTTGACCACGCCTATGAGCTCGACTTTCAGCCTAGAAAATTACAATTGCATCAAGCAAAGCTGTTGGAATAATTAAAACAAGAAAAACTCTCAAGCTGAGTGGTTTTTATGGAAAGAAATGCATGTAAATATGATCCGCATGCCTAAACTATCCCTTTTAACATATAAATAAGCAGCAGCGAATTTCATGTAAAACTTCCAATCAATTGACCTCGAGAACACTATGATCTCTGAGACAACACACCTAATTCTGATAGAAGATCAAGAATACAGAAAGACCAATACACCTTCATAAGCAATAAAACAATTACATACCCCAAATCGCAAATATTAACTACAAAGCATAATTACATCAAATTAACAGGTAAAAATATTTCAGCCCAATGCATCATAGTTCAAGAAACGACATCCTTTATTCTTCTTTTTGGTTATCAAAAGAACGAGCTTATGGATCTTTACAATGCTCACAGTTGATGCACCTGTTGGAAGTCGGATATTTTCTCAGGCAATTCTAGGAACACCACATTCTGTGCAGCTGACAAGTCAAGTCCACTACTCCCAGCAAGTATCCCAACCAATGCAATTTTAACCTGACAAGTCATGTCGCACTGTTATTATTATTATCATTAGAGACTGCCAAAAACTTTATGCATATTTCATCAATGTTATTATCCTTTATGAACTTATAATCTAAGCTGGAAAAACCCAACGGATCTTTTGTACGTCAAATATTGGGAATCCTGCGATATGTTTAATAAGATTATATCCAGTATGAACTTGATGAAACAGAAAATAGATAGCTAGATGGTGAATTTCATTAAAATGCTCAGAGTTGAAGACAGTACTAAGAAGACACTCTACATGCCTCTTTTGAATGTTGGAAAGAATGGATCGCTTGCTGCCTATCTTTGGCAGATGCATCACGTGCATCAATACGTACAAACTTAATCCCCTTCTCACATAGGAATTCCTGTTCAAATTAAAAGACATTAGGACAAGTACAAAGTGAAATGCAAAGTATATTCCAATAAAGAGAAACCAAAGTTCATTCAGAATTTTATTACAAAGAATACATGAAAGCAGATGCTCAAAATAACTTTGATTGGTCTCAGAAAGATAACAGATATGCTAGTTTTTTCTCCTGAAAACTTCTCTTCATTTCATCTATTTTGACATTCAAATTTAGTATGCCAAATGTCAACGACGGAAGAGGGCTTTATAGATGAACAAGTTTACTATTGTATGAATGGTATACAAAAGGGGACAAGAAACACTTCCTCACCTGTACCCTATCGGTAACCTTATGATGGTGAGCAAATATTATCATTTTATGAGAACTTTGACTTGATTCGAACTTTTCATCATCATCAGATTCGGCAATGATTGGATGCATAAGTAGCCACTCTATGAATCCTGATAGTTTTGCAATACCAATAACTTGATTGGATGGTTTTGAAGAGTTGCGACCAGCATCTTCTGACAGAAAAAAAAAGAACAGGAAATTCTTACAGCTGATATGAGTAGAATTTAGAGATTGTAAGCCTACCTGAGCTTCTTTTTGGGTTAGTCAATAATAACCTTACAGAGGCATAATCAAAATGATAAAGTCAACAAAGCATTTTAGCTCTTAAAAAAATATGGAATCTGAAAAGTAGAGCACAATTAGGATGCATGCTCAAAATATAACAAAGTAGGGGATAGCATACCCAAGGTACAGAGACAAAGAATAGAGATTGTCTTAGAGCACTTGGTTTAGAAGCATGAAGCCATAGAAGCCAGATTGCGATACAAATGCAACACATGTAAGATGTGAAATAATGCGGGATGGCTTCATAAATATATTTCCTCTCATTATTCCACTGGAAGTGTTTGGTACTGACAAAGTTTATAGCAGAAATGAAATCTAGAACTTATTCCATAAGTTTCCCAGCTTGCCTCAATAATGTTGCATATGTCCTACTGTGGTTATCAACTTTTGGCTAAGGAGTTCTCTAATACTGGACCCTGCCTAGCACCATCCACCATTACAATCCATTGACATATTCAAGGGAAAATGGACATCTCAACAAGGATTTTCGCATCCTGAGGGTGCATGATGAATATGTTTGAAGATCAGATGCAAGATATGCGTTCAAATTTCAACCACTGTTTATATATGAAGACCACTATGAACACAAATGACATGGTATGGCTATTACACCTGACCAGTCACATAAGTATTTCACATGAGGAAGGACAATGCTGCAAGGGTAGACTTCTATGGAATTGTGTTAACGTACACTAGGAAGGGTGTAGAGAAATTAATTTAATTAAAGAGGCATTCAAGCATTAGACCATCAACCTTGGAGAATTAATAGCCCAAGGAAATGACATGAGTCAAAATACTAGTGAGAGATTTTTATTCTCACTTGAATCATCTTGCCAATAGAGTGCATATATTCAGCAGTCACAGAAGTGGAAATAAATTGGCACCCAGGGTAAACTGTATATAGAGAAATAAGATATTGTGCGATGTACGATACATAAACCCTAGAGTACGCTTGCAAGAGAAACAAGGGTAAACTAGTTTGTTTGGTATTGTTTTAAGAGGTCTAGTATAGTAGCCATGTATGTTGATCGGTGATTCATAACAGATTCTAACACTCTATACCACACAAAGAGACTTATTTGACTCGGGAAATACTCAAGATACCTTTCTGGTAAATACGAATGTCAGGTAGTTAACATTCAACCATTTATGCATTAGAGAAAAGGGCTGTGTACTAAGAAACAGGATTTTACCCATAATACAAGCAAGATGTTTTTCAATGCCATCAACCGATAAGCATTTGCAACCCGGCAAGATACAGACCACACACATCTTGAGCCAATGTTATTGCTTATTGGTATTTAGAATTCATGACCTTAGCATATAGAGCACAGAACAAATGCAAAGGCTAAGAAACATATGAATATGGCCAGAACCACAGGTCAAATAGCAAAGGAAAGACAGATCTAAAATCCAGATAAAAGCACATAAAAGTTTTTGACTCAATTGAAGCAGTGGAACAAACAATGGTGATAATATCTTGAAGCAACTTCTTACAAGTCAAACGTTTAGCAAGTCCAACAAATTCTAATGAGGGAATTTACAAAACAAATTAATTAAGAAACCAAATAGCAGCACAATTATGTCATACATGCAAGTGTGGATCATTGTCTAGAGGCAGGGAATGATTAACCTTGTTTACATAGACAAACAAATGGAATGCTGAAATCTTACTTTTATCATGATGTTTATCCTCCTCTGATGGACCATCTTCAACATCATTTTCTGTAGACGCATCATCATTTGCCCTGCTGCAAATTGCTATTGCTGAATCGAAATCTGATTTCTTCAAAACCAAGTTTATGATTTGTCGTCGTATGGGCGGTAATTGCATCAAGACATGCTCCTTCAAGCGTCTTATCTACATAATATAAACAAACAGCAAAGCTGAAGAAAACCTTCAATATATAAATGGACAGAATATCTTTGTACCGAAAGTGACTTAACAGCTTCATAGGTCAAACCCATTTATATACTACTCCTCCATCCCAAAAGGGAGTCCACTTCACAATATTTCTTTGTCCCGAAAAAAGAGTCCTCTTTCTAGATCTAACCATATAATAAATTTGATGTTACAAAACACTCTTTAATTTTTTAAAGATTAAATAAGTAATTATTATTAAAATTTCTATTTTATCATGTGTATAATTATACCCAATCCTTGCAGAATTAAAGAGATCCATATTTTTTTTGGGGGGAGGGGGAGTATGATTGACGACTATGGACTGTTTCAACATTCTAGGATAGAATATCTCATTGAGAAGTTCAACAAATGATAAAAGAATCCACAAACAACAAGAACTAACCATGACAGTCTGCTTCAGCAACACATTTAGCTCCTCCAAGCGAATACCCTTTGAAAAATCCTAGAAAAAACATAAACATATGAAATGTGCAAAAAAAATAAAAATTGCATATGCCAGCAAAAGAGATGCTGCGGCTGATCCCATGCAACCCACTATGAGACATGTAGTAGTTCTATGAATTCGGTGAGGCAAAGGACCTTGGCAGTATCATTTATACATATGGTATGGACAAACAAATGCTACCTGATAGACAATTCCTTGAGAAGTTCGGGAACTGCTCATGGAACAGTAGGTTTTTGCAAATGCAATCTTGTCCTTTCCAAGCAGTCCAGGCCTAAACAAAGACAGTATTTGTCAAGAAAATTGCATGATCTGACGATCAGCCAGAGCATAAAACCAAGTACAACAGAACGGAGATGCAAAAGTTACCATAAAATATTTATTTGATGAAAAATGTCGAAGGGCCTATGAGCACCTAGGAGAAATATGAGACCAAAGAAATTAGGATCCATGTATTGAAGCACTAAATGCCTGTAGATCCCGTAATTACTAAATCACTTATAAGCATAACGCTATCCAGAAATATAAAACATCTGTCGTGCCACAACCTTGACAAAGATGGAGTCCCTGAGAGTAGAACTATACGATTGATCTTTGATGACACATCAAGTACAGCTTGTGTCTGTAAACAACAAAAAAGAGAATAAGGAGATCAATATGACAGAAAACTGAAAGCGATTAGGGTTAGCATACGTGCCACCATTATTGTGGTTTAACCATCCAAGCGCAAAGCTTGTTAGGAAATTCAATAGATAGGAGGGTGTAACACATTGATTCCATGCAATCTAGTAACAGTTTAATTCAAGACAAAAACAAGGTCGAACTGAAAACTAGTTGATCTCTTTTTGTTTGAATTAAATTCATAGTAACTAGCTTGTACTTTTGCACGTCACTCAAAGCATTATGAATCTTAGAGCTGCTAAATACAGATCTTTACAAGGAAAACAGGGGATGGAAATAGAGTTTATAGCAAGAAACATAAGATTTCAGGGTCTAAATACGCAAAAGTTGAACCTGTAAGAGGAGACATCGTGTAGTTAAAATCTATGACCACAACTTTAAGTTGAGTAAATGTCACATCAAGGCACCTGATCATAATTCTTCTCCAGAAAAACAAATCAAAAGGTTGCCAGTCTCATCTGATTTTTATGAATGATACAGTAAGTGGGAGACATAAGATGTAAACTGTGTGCTACAGTGATAGACCATTGTATAAAGTTTTAACTGATTTTAGTAAGCAAACAAGTGAAAGGGGGATCTCAAATCTAAGGGGATAACAATAGATAATAAAAGTTTGACATACCGTGCACATCTGTGTTCTTTTATACGAAATATGGTCATCATGCTCTCAATCCCATTAATATATGCTCTGGATACATACCTGATGGCATATCCGTTTACATATTTGATTACCCATTATCCATATTCAACAAAGTATAAAAATATTTACCACTTAAAATCTAATTGATACTTGATTTATTTTAACTTTTCTAAGGTTCAATATAGAAGCAGGACACCGAAGTTTGCTTAAAGTCTCAAAAAGGCCACCCAATTGTAAAAGCATCAAAGGAGGCCAACCAACTTTTATATTCGTGTCTTTTATGCCAGAATCAACGTAAAATGACTCTTATACCCTCTAATTAAATTTTAAGCTTACAAAATATTACATTCAAAGTAATATACAAATTTTAAGGGCTTTTTAGCAAAACCAGAAAACTTGATTAAAATGTAATTCTGAATTCTAAAATTTAAATTAGTGCAATATCACTTGTACTATAAACCTTGTACTTGTACAGTTTATAACAAAAAAAAAACGCAACCAATAACACCACCAGTGTCACCAAAGGGCCTTTGGCCTAGCGGTATCGTAGCCTTTGGCTACCTAGAAGGTAAGGAGTTCAAACCTCATCAAAGGTGAGGAGGGTGTGTGAGTTTCTTTGTTGCATTTGCCGTATATAAATATTATATACTTAAAAAAAAACACCATCAGTGTCCCCCACCCACTACCTCCCCTCCCCTCCCCCGCCATCCCTTCCCCTCCTTGCGACATCACCGCCCACTTCCTCTTTTTCAAGTCACCAGAGTGCAAAACCCCATCATCCCTATTTTTCATAATTCAAAGTTTTATTTTATGTTTTAACCACTATAATTTGTTTTTTATGTTTTGACAACCAATTACTCTGTAATCAGGGGTATTTTCATCATTTTTGCAATATTGGGTATAAATTACGCCAGTTTTATAGTTGAGTGGCCTTGAGACTTTTGGCAAACTTCAATCGCCTCCTTATATACTAAACATTTTTCTAACCAAAAAAGCAATGACTATATAGTACCATTAGTCACATGTGATTTAGGATTTTCTATGAACTTAAAACTTATTTAGTGTGGTTTGGTCTTCACGGAGACGTTTGTTTGTTTTTCAAATTCAATCTTTGTTCAGCATGTATGTCCTACATAACTTCTGGATAGACAAATACAAATACTTGGTTGGATACACTACCAAATTCAGATGTTCAAATAATAAGAATCCCAATGCACACAACTTCAAACGTAGATGAGAACCTCCAGGGTATACTGCTTAGCACTGGGAAAGCGACCCAATGTTCCTACTATTTCACCCAAAAGAGATGTATGAATAAAGGGAAGAGGAAAGTATGGAAACCTCACCCATGCCATCGTCATAGGATATCATGATTAGGTTGAAGTTAGGAAAAACAAGGAGCTGTATCATATCAGAGCTATAGGCTAGATAAGGACAAGATCCACCCGGGAAGCTAAACATATCATAAATCATAATAATTTTTGGATCTAGAATCCCTTATGTTGCAGACGCTGAGAGACCACAAAATGCATTTATATGGTCACGAGTGGCAGTCTTTAAAGGGGTCGTACATCCTATAGCTTTGCAAAGAGGTTTGTATTGAAACTAGTGGAAGCCTTATAGATTTCAGTAAGAGAGAAGGCAACAGCCGGAGCACCATTAAAATCAGAGGGTTGTTTAGGAGTTCATTATCAGGCAATAGTGGTTTGATAGATCCTAGCCACCTTGGAGGTCAAGGGTTCAAGCCTCACTAAATGTGAGGAGTACATGTGAGTATTTGCAGCATATAAATTTTATATACTTCAAAAAAATATTGGTTTGGTAGAAGCCTTGGTGATAGTAGATGTAGAAGAGGAATTACCAACAAGAATAGAAGCAAAGGATGACTTAGAAGGAGGAGTATTAGACAATTAAGTGTGATATATATACATAATTATATTAAAGGGTCTAGAATGTAAATGTATCTCTTATATATATGTCTGATTGTAATCGATATAAAATACACAAATTACCAAGTTTATTTTGGTATCAGAGCCAGCCCTAGACACCCTACAGCTACCATCACAAGGCAACCCTAAAGCTACCGCACCCATCTTCTACCCTACGGCTGCCTCACCTTTTGTCCAATGACAATTGTTGCAGATTTCACTCCAACCGAGAAAAACACCCATAACTCCCACAAGTTTGGCTTCACTTTATCACCAAACAAATATGGCTATTGGAAGGCAATGGTTCAACCGTTCCTTTTTGACAAACAACCTGTTCGGCTATGTTGATGGCACCATTCTTAGTCCACTGATGACTATCTCATCATCATCATCATCTGAAAAATATGCCGACGGCACCACAGTGCCCCCACCACAACCGAATCCTAACTACAGAGCATGGGTTTCCAATGATGCACATGTACGGATGCTGATTATTTCTACAATCTCTGAGGCGTCGTTCCAACACGTTCAAAGACTTACCTCCCGTGATCTTTGGTTGTCTCTTGAACGTGCTTACGCTCCTCACACATCATCTAGGGAATACACCCTACAAACTCAGCTTCTTAAACTAGAGATGAAGCCTGCTGAAACCTCCTCCGCATACTTGACCAGGGCTCAAGAATACACTGATGCTCTCGCCAATATAGGCAAACCAATGAAAGAAAAAGATTTGGTGATGCTGGTTATCTCGGGTCTTAGAGAAGAATACAACGGGCTAAAGTCAACACTCCTTGGTCGCAAATTCCCAACTGCCTTTGCAGAACTTCATGGACTGCTATCAGACCATGACTACATGATCAAGAAATCTGCAACTGACATCTCTCCGCCTCGAGCATTCTCGACTGTCACGAATAACCGCAACTCAGCGGTTCCTGATGCCACCTTGTCTACTCCTCAACCGTATCATCTTCAAGCTATTCAACAGCTTCTTTCACAACTTAGTCTTCAAGTTCGGCCTGTTAATGCACAGCCTGCACATGCCTTTTAGACCAACAGATTTGGGAATAACCGCAACCGTGGACGTGATTCTGGACACGGACGAGGAAACTACAACAACAGAAGTCAATGAAGAGGTAGCCCTAATCAATTTAGTTAAGCTTATAATCAAAACACTGTTTTTGGCACATACAACAAGTGTGGGATTGGTCATATCCCGTCTCATTGCCCCAATTGCGACCCTGCTCCTATGAGAACGAGACAACCACCTTCTGCCAACTTTACAGATTACTGGTCACAAGCTTGGCTTCCGGATACCGGCTCTAGCCATCATGTTGCACCGGACCTATCTAGCTTCAATAACTCTTGAGGCCTACTACGGTGAGGACAACCTTCACGTTGGCAACGGTAAGGGTTTACCCATTCTACACATTGGTTCCTCACAACTTTATTCACCAAACAAAACCTTTTCCCTTAACGACATACTACACATACCTGACATAAAACAAAACTTACTTTCTGTTCAAAAATTCTGTTTTGATAACCATGTGTACTTTGAATTTCACTCTACTTTCTTTGTTGTGAAGGACAAGTTCACACACACTATCCTCCTCACTGGTCCAAGCAATGGTGGTCTCTACTCCTTCCATCCTCCTCAGCCTCAGCCGTCGTTTTCTACCACACGTGCCTCTTCCACCACACGTGCCTCTTCCACCACATGGCACCGAAGACTTAGACATCCACATCCACAACTTTTCCCTCTAGATAAATAAGGCTTTCTTCCTTTGGGTAAAAGGGAAGTCCATCTCTCCCTTTTCTCCTATAAATTGAAGCATTTACTTCAGTTGAGAGTAAATAAGTAAATGCTTCAATTTATAGGAGAAAAGGGAGAGATGGACATTCCTTTTACCCAAAGGAAGAAAGCCTTCTTTATCTAGAGGGCAAAGACTTCTCATCACTTCTTGTAAGCTTTGCTGGCCTTGTCACCTTTTTTGAAAGGATGAAAAAGGTAAAGATGGTCTTACCCTTAAAACAAGGAAAAGGTAAATATGGTCTTTTCATTAAAATAAGAGGAAGACAACTTTAAGACATTTTTTATTCAACAAGACCCATTTCTTTAAATAATGCGAGATTTTCAGATTTGACTGCAGAATTAATTCTTTTAAATATCCAAAAGAAAAAGTATTTAAATTTATCCAAATCCGCTTTGAAGAAAATACTGAATCCTTCCTGATCATGGGTGGTCTCGGGACAACAAACGCCAAATCATTTTGGCTGGCCATTTGAACAAGGATGCCGGATTATGGTTCCAATTTCTGCGCCATAATCTGATTCCTACGGTTCATGATAGCACCATATCGCGGGAACGATGTGCCCTTCTCTATTGTATTATGAGGGAAATGCCGGTCGATCTAGAGACCATCATGCATGCATCTATTCGGGCAACCTCTCAAAGGACACACTCACGATTGGTTTTTCCGGCCCTAATCACAAAGCTCATGACCGTTGTTCATGTCCCCACTTTTGATTCAGATACTATAATTGTTGGCTCCCCATTTCTATGCCAAAACACTATAGATCGTCGAGAACGGGATTCTCGACTCTTTCTTAACTTACAGGATCCTGTACCCGTGGATGATGTTGTGGAAGATTTGGTGGCCCCAATTCCGAATCCTCAATCAACTCAGCCGCCTGCTGCCTCGACGTCTGAGCCATCATCGCAAGTTCCCCAAGATCCTACCATTGTGGCTGGGCCATCCCAACAGCCATCAAAAGGCCCCTTGGCATCCGGTTATGGCTCCTCTACATGGCTATCCGTTTTAGCTTTGCAATGGGAGGAGACAAATCAGAAGTTAGATAACATTCTGAAGAAGGTTGAAAATGTTGAAGACCGAGACACCGTCTTAGAAAAGAAAACAGCCCGTTATTGGGCCTATTCTCGTGATTGGAACCGAGTTGCGGCAAATTTATGGCCGTCAAGACATCCTGCTGATGGCCCAATTCCCACGGTTCCCGAGGGGTCTTTGCCCTCTGCAAGTGCGATGCGTCTCACCTCCTCAAATCACAACGCTAGTCGTTGTTTCTGCTGTTGCTGCGACTTCTGCTGTTGCTGTTTGTCTTGTCACCACTGTTGATGCACCCTCTGTTGATAGTCCTTCCGCTGCTGCTCCACCAGTCGATACTCCTGCTGTTCATAACTCCGAGGAACCAGATCGGGCAGCAGTGTGCCCGCAGTGAGCAGGTTTGAAGATAACGGTTAAATACTTGACTTTTCATCCTAACCTCTTGAACAATATTTTTGGGTTATCATATTTGGGTATATTTTGATACACTTTTAATCCGTCTTTTGTGTCTTATTCATGGATTTGTCATAACTTTTGTGTTATATTTTATGACTTGGTGTTGGAATTCTTTTTGTTTGTCTAGTTCCGCTCTTCTTTTCAGGTACAACATCCTTCATTTTCAGGTACAACATCCCAACCACCCCTTATCCACACCTATCACCGCCGTTCCATAGTCACCGAACCACCAGCTCAGCCTACCCGTACTCGACCACCCAACCTACGCCCCAATCCCAAACAAACCAAACCTTACAATGCCTCCTCATACCATACCCATCATCCTTAACTTGACGTCGAACCGACCACCTTTACTATTGCTAACAGGTACCCTCAGTGGCGTACTGTCATGGCTGACGAGTATTCGGCGTTGATGCGGAATGGTACTTGGACATTAGTACCACGCGTTCCAAATTCCAACGTAGTTGATTGCAAGTGGGTATACAAATTAAAGAGGGACCAACGAGACAGTTTATTTGCAACAGCCTACATGGTTCGTTGACCCGGACAAACCCGATCATGTTTGCCTACTTCACAAATCCTTATATGGATTAAAGCAGGCCCCTATAGCGTGGTTTCATAGACTTTCTACGGTCCTTCATTCTCTTGGCTTTCAGGGATCCAAAATGGACCCTTCCTTGTTTATTTACTCCCACAGGGCCACCATTTTATACATGCTAGTCTATGTTGATGACATTCTTTTGACAGGAAACAACCCGGAGGCTATTGACAAAATGGTACGTCTTAACCAATCCTTTGTTGTTCAGGATATGGGTCGCTTGTCTTATTTTCTCGGTATTGAAGTAACCAGTCAGGGTCATGATATAATTCTATCACAACGGAAATACATCCTTGAACTCTTGCAACGCGCAGGCCTGTCTACTGCTAAACCGACTTCATCTCCTATGACCACTAATGCTAATCTTGCTCTTGGTGATAGCGCTACGTTTGCTGATCCAGTCAAGTACCGCCAAATTGTGGGTGCCCTTCAGTATGTGACATTGTCTCGTCCGGATATTACTTTCGCGGTCAACAAAGTCTGCCAATTTATGCACTCCCCCACTGGAAATCATTGGGCGGCAGTCAAACGAATTCTTCGTTACTTGCAGGGAACTGCTGACTATGGTTTACGAATCATGCATGATTCAGGCACAATCCTTCATGCCTACAATGATTCTGCTTACAACTCCCTAACTGGCTTCTCCAATGCTAACTGGGCTGGTTGCCCTGACGACCGTCGATCCACTGGGGGATATGCTCTCTATCTTGGTTCAAACCTAGGATCATGGTCTGCACGAAAACAAAGGACTATCTCTAGGTCATCAACAGAGTCTGAATACAAGGCTCTAGCCGATACTGTTGCTGAGCTCACATGGCTCCAAACACTGTTGCGCGAACTCCGGGTTCCTGTGAAGTCAGTTCCTACCTTATGGTGTGATAATCTTGGTGCTACGTATCTTTCAGCTAATCCTGTCTTTCATGCCCGTACCAAGCATGTAGAAGTTGACTTTCACTTTGTTCKAGAAATGGTTGCGCAACGGAAGCTTTCAGTTCAGTTTATATCTACAGATGAACAGATTGCAAACGTGTTCACCAAGCCGCTACCTTCACAACGGTTTCTCCTATTACGGTCCAAGCTACAGGTCGCTCCCCGGCCTTAGCTTACGGGGAATATTAGACAATTAAGTGTGATATATATACATAATTATATTAGAGGGTCTAGATTGTAAATGTATCTTTATATATATATATCCCTGATTGTAATCGATATACAATACACAAATTACCAAGTTTATCTAGGAGGATCTCTCGGAGCAAATTGATTTATCATTGCATTTGCATCTTTAATGTGTACCTAGATTCTGAAATTCCAGGACCATAAAAGTGTGAATCAACTTTTATGAAGAACAAATTTAAAAGCATCATCATTGGCCAAAAATCTCTTCAGTTATTATGTAATTTTTAATGATTACTTGTGTTCCCTTACCCAAAAAAGATCTAATTTCACATATCTACATATATTAGTCAAACATTCCGTTGTTATGTTTATACTTTCTTTTAGCAATGTTAAGAAACTTAATGGTGGTCACTAGGATTTGTTGTACATAAAAATTTAAACCTCTATTGCTCCTATTGTTGATGTTTGTACATATGTTCCTGTTTCTTCTACCTACCTTTAAGCATTTTGTTCAAGTCTCTCCGGTCAATGCTTGTATTTTCTTTTCCATTTTTTTGACCGATTCAAGAAATAAAATTTAGACAGTGGTTCATATTAAAGATGGTATATTCTGGCATCAAATGGAAAAATGCTACATTATAATTAGTGTTTCGCCAGGAGGAATTAGTAAGAAGTGAAGCTCAAATGTCAACTGAGGATTCTTCACACTTACAAGCATGAAATATACTAGAAATCAAGTTTAATTGCATGCTAAAAATAAATATAAGTTGTACCTCTCCCGCTTCTGATGATGGTCGTTTCGTACAGCGTACATGATGTGATTCATCAACGATCAAAACGGCCCATTTTTGTTTGGATATGCTCTTCTTCAAATTGTGCAACATTTTGTAAGAAATAACGACAACCTTTGGAGACCTTGCTAAGTTTGCAGGGTTGTTTTGATGACCAAAAACTGGAAGATGAATCAATTGAAGAAGCAAAGCATCAGCCACCAAAAGTTGCTCAAAAGTAGTTCTTATTATTACTAATTGTCGCACATTCATATAATACTATTTGGCACATGCTGAGAAACAATACAAAACTATTTATTTGCATTAGGTGAAACATGCACATGTTGAAAGGATATACATTCCCCTAGAGAAGCAATATTGTGAGATTATACTATGGTACCCCCACACATACTAGCACACACACATATACAATAAACGAAAAAAGCAAGCAACAAAAAGAGGAAGGAAAAGAGGACTATTGCATTGCCATCAATCAAAATTCAGAAAGTTGCTTATAAATTCCCATGCTCCACAAATATTATCACTTCCTTATTAACCATCTGTTACTATGGCACAGTTTCCATAAAATATGAATTCCATTACTCTCCACAAATGCAGGGTGGAGCTAGAATATTTAGAGCCAGCTGCACAGTTTAACAAACCTGTATGCATATTTGTCAAGATTCATCGATACGACACTCCCCAGTAATATAAAATTCAACTCATGGTCAATGTTTAGGATCATAGCATCTTTATGTTAGTCTTAATGATCACAGGCTTAATAAACTTGGAATAGCAAGATGAAGCCATAGTTGAGAAATATACCTAGATGAATATCAGAGGGCAAACAAGATGGAAGCCAGTGCTCTAATTCTTCTGCCCATGTATATCGCAAAATTGCAGGGCAAACAACTAGTATTGGACCTTCATTCATGAAACAGCTTGCAATTGCAATGGCCTGAAAACCAAGCAAGCAACTAAGTTAGCATAATAGCCCCTGATCTGAGAGAAGTTATACAAGGACAGGATCATATTGAGACAACATTCTGCAGCACGAAAAGACTTCTGCCCATACAACATGTAGTTGCCATAATGTAAGAAAATAGTGTAATCATGCGGTTTTCAAATAAAAAATGTTGTAACCATGCAAGTTTCATATCAAAAGGTTGTAACCATGTAGATTTTGTATGAGACAATCATCATCATGTAACTTTAGTCTTGGGAATGACAATGCTGACTGAGTGACTGCAGGTAACTCAAATAGAAGTGCTAATGTGTAATGACTACATGAAGTTGTACATATACCATGACAAGACAGGCTAATCACATTACTCGAAAAAAAGATGGAGCAAGAGGTATACTAGTGATTTAGGATAAAACCTATAAAAAACTACTGACATGTATAACCTTCTCTTCTAATTTTCACCTGAAGTGTTTTCCCAAGGCCCATTTCATCAGCAATGAGACACCGGCCACCCCGACGCAATCCAAACTTCACACCTTCAACTTGGAAAGGGAGCAGTACGTCCATTAGGAACTTTGGAAGTTTCCCCATTAATTCATCTACCTTTACATCAGATAAATGTTCTGGCCTGCAGGGTTCCCATCGCCCCTCGACATACGGACGTGACAGTATGCTTACAGCTCTACGCGTTACATAAGGGATATCTTTATAATCAATGTGTTCAATCTTTAATGACTTGACAACTGCATCATAATCCGTGAGCTTGAAAACACAAGCCTCTCCACCAACATGGTTTTGTGTGTAATGTGACGGGAGCACCTAACATCATCAAGTAAACACAATCAAGCGTAATCAGATTTTGATGCAATGAAAAAGAAAAGAAATAGAAAAATGGGCATAAAAACTTATTAGATACCGCGGTCACATGTTATGCCATCTTAAACATAACAAATTAAAAACCCCAAATTTTAACGTTTCACTAACCCCCTCCATCACAAATAAACACACACGTATTATACTCGAGATTAAATTAGTATTAATTATGATCTACGATAATAACCATTATCATATGAACGTATCCAATGAAGAACGACAATTACTTACATTAGAGAGGCACTCGCTTAATTTTTCAAAACAAGCGGCTTCTCCAGGAAACGTGTAACCATCAACACGCAATGGCTTGACTAAGAACGAATCCGGGGAGCAAATCTCGAGTTGAACCATGAAATTTTCTGAGGAGAGCTTTTGACACTTGGTTAGCTTCCAGGGTGCGGCCGGAACATCGTCACCCGCTGCCTTGCGCTTAGCATCGACGGCAAGATGACGTACTTCCATTCGGACCTGTTTGTTTTTCCGGTGAGTTCCCCTTTCTCGTTAGGGTTTTGAATCAGATGATCGATTGTAAGCGGGAATATGGAGTTTGTTGCTATAGATTGAAATCGACTAATAAGAGTTTTGAAACCCCAACTTCTAAAAATCATTTATAATTCTACCGTTTGAATTTTAAATTTACAGACAATTTTTTAAAAATTACAAAATTAATTAAATTATTAAAATAATTCATATATTTAATAAATTTTTATTTTTATTTTTTAAACATTTAAGAGCCGTTTACCAAACACTTACCCGGTAAGTACCTACTGATAAAATTTAACACTATTATTTACTTATCGGATAAGATTTTAGTCCATCAAAACGTCGTATTCAACAATTCACCCGGTAAGCACGTAAGCACTTACCGTGGTAAAAGTTGTCGTCATCACTTACCGGGTAAGACTCATGGTCTTTATCTCACACTTACCGGGTACGATTTTTAGTCCTTACGATCTTCATCTGGTGAGGTTAATGTGACTTGGTAAGCACTTATCCGGATAAGTGTTTGGTAAACGACCCCTTAATTATACAGGTTTCTTATTGACGAGATCATAATAAAAAAGACATAAATTCTAAAAAAACTTAATGAACTTTCTTATTTTGAATCATTAAGTCATTTAACTTTTTTAAATAAAAAATCATTAAACTTTTTTTTATGTTAAATGATCAAGTCTTCGAAATTTTTTCAATAAATAAACCATCAGAACTCTTAAAATTGGTTACTTACATTCTTTTAACCCAAAAAAAACTACTTAAAAATCGGCTATGAATATTTTAAAGTAAAAAAACCTAAATTGATTTTATCTTTCTCAAACTTTGTGTCATTCAAACCCTTCATCGCCGCATTATTGTTTTCTCACTATCCATTACCATCATTGGTCTCTATCATTGATCTTCCTTTTTTTATCGTTTTCTTCGTCTTTTTTATATACATATACGTGCTCCTTTAAATTTTTGTAAAAGATGAAGAATTGAAAGAAAATATATCAAAAAGATGAAGATCAATTGTAGGGGCCAACAGCAGCAAGGATGGGTTGTTAAACTAACAAAACCTCTCATCTCGATCCTTGATTGAATGGTCCGATTTCCGTCAACGTTTTTATGTCAAATGTATCCTCGTATAAATTTTATGTATCGTTTTTTTCATTTCAAGCTCGATCGGGGTTGGTTTTAGTTTTAAAATCTTATAAATTCGTCATTCTGATCAAACAATATACCAAGATGAGACTTTAAGCACCTTTTCCATTAGATTATGATTCAATAAACAAACATGGTGATGTGGGCATCAGATAATTTAAGCACCTTCTTCTACTCGATTATGATTCAAGAAATAACAACGGTGATCTTGACGAGCGGCTAATTTAAGCATCTTATTCCGCTCTCGAGATAAACAAGTAGGACGATCGAGCTTATGAGTTAGTCGTCTACAATTTCGCCGTCCTTTTCGTGTGATCATGTGTTTCCAATCACCCACCAAAGCCTTCACCTTGCTCTTTCGGGTTCGAATCATTTTGCTAGCAGCCTTTTTGATAACATTGTTAAAAGAACTCGGAAGAACTTTCTTTTCTCTATTGGATTGGTGTTTTAAGCACCGTTTTTCTCGAATGCGGATTCGGGATCGTGCAATATGTTATACGGACTCATTCGCCTTAAACTCCGCGCGTGATCCTTTGCCTTTTGTTCTCCAACCAATAGTTTTTGTTGCCTGAATTCGATAATTGACCAACTTACCCCGAATAAGTTGTTTCTATATTTTGATTAGTTTGTATAATTTATTAAATTATAATAAAATAAATATTTTCATAACAAAATATATCCTTCGAAAATTTTAGAAGAGAATGAATTTTATTTTGAGAGTATATTGATAATATATAAGTTCGTTCCACGTTGTTCCATAAGGTAGGGGTAAAACACACCTATTGCACTTTGTTCATGTTTTTCCCACATGAAATTAATGTCACTGCCACACATGGAACAACGATTTATGTTTTGCTCTATCATATCATGTCTAGTGTACCAAACACTCCATATGATAAGGAAGTCTCGAAAAATGTGCCCCAAATATCGAGTTATGGATATGTTAGTTTTATTGGACTGGTATTTGTTGTCGACACTTATGGGCCATTTACCAAATGCTTACCGAGTGAGCATGGTAAGTACCGACAATCTTACCCAGTAAGAGGTAATGAAAAAACCAAAAATCTTACCAAATAAGTGAAGAAGGCCAAAGCTTACCAGGTAAAAGATGCGTAACAAAAATCAATTTTTAAAAGCCGAAAATGTTACTCAATAAAATAAGTGAGGGTAATAACTTTTGTCGGGTAAGTAGTCTGAATTTACTTGATTATTAAGTCATGCTAAATGATATTCTACAATAACAGTTTATCTGAATAGAATGGTCATGTTCGAAAAAACTATCTACAAACATTGTAATATAAAACCACAAGGGTGGTGCCTGATTGGTTTGAGTTTGACTCCAAAGGTCAAAAGTACCAGGAGGTCCCAGGTTCAAATCCAAGTAGGAATAAAAATCCCCTTGTGGCCACGGAGATTCAAATGCGGTGACTCCGGACCATCTGCAAAGCAGGTGGTCGCCCTAGGATTAGTCGGCTCGCATAGCGGGTTGGATATTCAGGTTAATAAAAAAAAACATTGTAATATAAAGACAGAGTAATCACATGTGAATATTAACCATTCTCATATTCTCTTATTTAACCATGTTCTCTCCTTCTCTCCATATAATGCATCAACAGAAACACAAAATAAAAAGAACCAAACACCCACCAAAAAGACTTGATTAAATTGCCATCTTACTGTCCATCTACAAACTCATGATCAGATCTTCTTAAAAACTAAAGTCTTCCCAACTTCAAACAAGTTTGTTCGACAAATTGCATCGCTAATTGATGATCTCCCTTACCAGCCAATCAAGACTCGGGTACGCGAAATACAGAACAAGAAAAGACGGAACAGCAAACAGAATCGTAATGAGAATGTACACTGCCAAGATGATTGCACTTGCAGGTATGGCATATAACACAATAAGCAGAAATATGAAGACCAAAGGGAACTTAGCCGTTAAGTGAACAAAGAAGATTAACGACTTACGTAGAGACGAGTGGAGCCTTTCTGTGTTGGAATGTGTAACCCGCGAATCTTGTTGACGATTGGAATCACCGACACCCGGTCCAACCGTGTTACTTCCTCGGCTCGAGCTCAACTGATTGCTGGCCCAGCCTCGGTTCCATGACCAACCAGATACTGGTAGATGGTCCATGCAGGATGAGGAATGAGACTTGACTCTATCACCATTCATGCTCTCGACCATCCAAAGAAGAAAGTAATTCTTTCGGGGAAACTTGAGATTCCCTTTATAAACTAGCCGAAACGACAACTGGTTGCACCACGGGCACGATATGAAGAATGGGAGCTGGATTGGGAGAGTTGGCAGTTTCACAACAGCCCATTGTAGCCCAAGGACACAGTTCTTGCAGAGGGTATGACCACACCATAATACATAGGGCACATTTTCGACAATATTGAAAGATTCCCAGCAAATTGGGCACTCAAAACCTTCCTCTCTGCTGTTATTTACCGAAACCTCGTCATCTGAGCAATCGGAAGAAGGTTGAGCGGGTCTAAGAGAATCGTTCTTAAGTCCAGAGGAACCAGCAATGGCGTTTGAAGCAAAACCCCACATGTCTAACACAAAAGTTTACCAAACTACAGGGTCAACAGTACCAGCTGGTCAGAGGGCTGCAAAATCGAAAATCTTCAAGAAGTTAAATCGCTTCATAGTTTCCGGGATTTCAAGTAAGTTTGTGTTTTTGTAACTTGTGTGACATTACTCATCATCATCACATTGGTGGAACAAGAACACTAACAGAAACATATAAGCATATATCATACAATAAGTTAGATAAGTTAGTGATTTCCCTAAGGATGCGTTTGGTATTTAGACAGGACTGAACGTCCAATAGTGAGATAGGTGGGTAAAAGACTCATGGAAGGTTTTAGGGTTTTAATTTGACATGGGTAGTTTAGTAATTTAAGAATCTTATCCCATCTCTTATTTTTGTTCCACCTATTTTCACTCAGGTCATGTCCTGTCCCAGACTCCCAATCTAATATCGCAGAAAACGTGGGACAACAAATTTTTGTAGTGCTCTATCTCGAGTACCAAACGCCCCCTAAAATATACTTACCCTACAAGCATGCAAAGAGAAAAGGTGAAGTGCAATATGGAAAGTGAAAAGGAGTTCCAAGGAAAAAATTGTGTTTGGTATGCAGACGGGATTGGACAGCATTGAATTGGACACAGCCAGACAGACGAGTAAAGTTGGCAGGTGAAAGAATTGTCAAAGTTTTTAGGGTTCTTTAATTTGACATGAGAAGTTTAGTAATTTACCAATCTTGTCTCATCTCTCTGATTTTTGTTCCTCCTATTTTGGTCAACCCGTCTAGTCCTAGTCTAATGTCACGCCAAATGTAGGACATGAAGTTATTGTTAAATCATGCCCCATTCATTTTGTCCCGAGTACCAAACAGACCTAAAAAAAAACCAAGCAGGACTAAGGATACACAGAATCTCTCACGGAGCCAATACTTTGGCACACATACATTAACAAAAAGTAGATAATAAAAGCTGTATTCTTAGAGGTCAAGGTTCAAGCCTCACCAAGGTGAGGAGTGCGTTTGAGTATTTCCATATATAAAATATTATATACTTAAAACTAAACCACAAGGGTGACTCAAGCTAGCAACAAAAAGATTCTTGTATCGAATCATAATACATGATACAATTTCTATGATCAAATTTCCAATCAATGCATGATCCACTTGAAACAGCTGAAAACATAATGAATTACATTATGAAGTTTATGGTTATTCCACAATTTCTTGAAATCTTCATATCATCATTCACCATCAGTTAGATTTACAAAATATTTCCTTCTCTTTGTTTCAATCTTTCTTTCATGCTTACAATCAATAAGCAAATGTGAGAAACAAGCTTCATGAGTTGAGTCCCATAAAGAATGTTGGTGACTTTAGTTAAAACATCGGTCTATTTTTCATGTTATTGGATTCACAAGAGAATATAGGGTAACTAGTTAACAGCTAGAACATGGGTTAGGTGGTGTGCAGTGCACCCTCGTGTAAGCTAACCAGAACCCGAGAACATTGGATGACGTCTTATGGCAATGGTCAAAGGGATCGCACCCTGGGCTCTGGTCCTGCTGAATGTTACCCACAGACGAGTTTTCAGCTGATGATTACTCACTGATATATTATCAGGCTGAGGACCTGATCAGTTTTGTAAATGCTTTTTCCCTAACTGTCCACTGTTTATTTCCAGCAATCATTTCCATTTCTCTAAACAATAATTTAGGAACAGTTAAGATTTTCTAAGTTTACAATTGAGATTTGAGATTATCCTGGAGTTAATTTTATGAAACCCGGGCAAAATTGGGTCAATATATATCTTAGAACAAAAAGCATCTTAAATCGTTGCAATTTTCAGGAAACTGAACGAAACACATTACATGAACAACTAAAACACGCAATATTAGCGATGAATCACATCAAACCCTACAAAACATTCGTGAAATTTACAACAACCCAACATTTCAGTTTCCTCAGATTGATGAAAACAAGAAGTCAAAACGATACCGATAAAAATACCTAACTAGATTCCATTAAATAAACTAATAAAAACCCTAATTTGATCAGAATCAAAGCAATCAGACCAAAACTTTTACTGAAGCAAAAATCTAAATGATTTCATTCAATCAAACAATATATTCTTGTTTACCTGATAATCGAAATAAGATGAACATGGATGAGAAGACCGCCGGAGGCAGAGATCCATTTTCACACACAGTGTGTGTTTCTCTCTCTAGAAAGGGCGAGATTCAGAGAGACAACATCGGCAAAAGGATGTCATGGTCACCAGCTTGCGACCACATGCTTCCAAGTGTAAGGATCAAAATGTTCTGGTAATTCGCCGGCTCACCGTACTTACCTTACGCCATCGCTATATCGTTTAGAAATTATGCTTTTTAGTCCTTATAGTTTAGCAATTATAATTTTAGTCCTTCTAATTTAGAATTCCTTACTATTTTCATCTTTATTATGATTTATTATTTATTGTTATTTTGGTTTATATGATTCACAATTCTTTAATGTTTTGCTTTCATGTACTTAAAAGTAAAAAATTAGTTTAAAGACAAAAATAACAATAAATTATAAACTATAAGAACTAAAATTAAAATTTCTAAATCATAGGAACGAAAATAAAAATTATTAACAAACCATAACGACAAAATCATAATTTACTCTTTAAAATATTTTTAGAGTAAATTACAAAAATCGTACTTGTGGTTTGGGAAACTTTAATTTTCATCCCTCAAGTTTAACAACTACTCCAATGGTTTGCTTTTTGTTATAGTTTTCATCCTTGATCTTAACGTCCGTTAGAGGCTATCGTTAAGTATCCTCACGTGTTGATCACGTGAGAGGTGTTTTGGTCAATTTTTCTCTTTCTTTTTAGATCTTTTTGGTATATAGGTTTGTAAAACTAGTATACAAGTGTTTAAAGCTTTAAAATGAAGCTAAGGAGACGTTTACCATATGATTAGTAAGGGGTCGTTTACCAAATGCTATTCGGGGTATGTGCTTATCAAGTCACATTATTTTACCGGATGAATATGGTAAGGAACAAAAATCTTACCCGGTAATAGGGAGACAAGGACCAAGAGTCTTACCCGGTAAGTGAGGGCGACGACTTTACTATGGTAAGCACTTACTGGGTAAATCGTTACATACGATGCCGTTTTGATAAACTAAAGTCTTACCCGGTAAGTAAGTGGTAGTGTTAAATTTTACCGGTAAACACTTATCGAATAAGTGTTACCCTACATGATGAACATGGTAAGGATCGAGAATATTATCCGGTAAGAATGATAACAGGGGTCGAGAGTTTACCCGATAAGTGAAAGAGGCAAATCTTATCAGTTAGCACTTACCAGAGAAAATTGTTGCATACAATGTTGTTTAATGGACTAAAAAATGTCGACTCTTACCTATAAGCACTTATCGGATAAGTGTTCGAGTAAACGACCCCCAAACCTCCCTCATACTGCCCCTTTTTATTTTTGTTTTACAATAAAACTTTGCATCCCATGCATCGAATGATGCACAACTTATATGTTTATTAAGTATTTATGGGTGAAGGATCGTGTGAGAATAAGAGTTAAAGTGAGAAGCGTAAGAAGAGATCTAGACCATTTCATCTTTAATCTCAAATTCAACCATAAGTCCCACTTGATACGGGTATTAATCTGGTGCATTTCGGTGCATCTCATCCTAATGTGCATCCAATGGGGAAGATTTTTTCTTATGCTTCTCATCTTCACACTCCTTCTCAGTAGAACCAACCCAATATTTATGTTAATAAAGTTAAGGATTTGATATCAATGTTATTTATGTGTTTATTGTTGCAAATTTTATAATCTTTGAGCAATATGTGTAACTGTTAATTAGATTATGTTAATTAACTCTCGACCCTAATCACCGAAATTACTGATGCCACTAATTGAGAGGTAGAGTATGAAACTTGTCAACGGGAAGAACGTCAGATGGGTATTAACTATCGAGCTTTAGAAAACTAAGTGAGGTGGAGATTGATCAAGGGAATACGCCACCCTCGAGGCGTCCCCACTACACCGACCCCTCGATCATTATAAGGGAGATAAATCAATGCATGCATCCCATTGGCAGATGACCGGTGCCCAAGCTCGAACCTCAGACCTTACTCGTACAAATTACACCCACACCTCTACTAGTGGCCAGATCAACGAAGTCAGTAAGGGTGAAATAAATAAGGCTAAGGGGTTGTTTGTTTACCTCTTAATAATTCCATTAAGAGGTAATCTTTGAATAGCTAAGAAGTGAATCTTGTTTGACAAAAAAAAAAATCTGCCTCTTAATGGTTCTAAACTTTCTGAATGATTTTGTATCTTAAGTCTCCCTTAACCATTGAGCACCCGAATTTCATCATGAACAATTACTAAACAATTATATTTTATTTTGCACTATATCATAAGAGTCTTTTAATTATTCTGCATTAAATCATTCAGCAATTACTAAATAATCCCTAACATAAAAACAACATGAAAGAGGCGGAGGTCATCGAAGTGTGGTGTTTTCGAGGGGAGGTGGTGCCAAAGAAGTAGATGGAGGTTGCATGAGTGTAGTGTGGAACCTACATTATAAGGTGTGATGTAGCATTCACATGATATCTCAAATTCTTAGGTTTCATTTATGTCCGTCAATCACATAAATATACGTCATCAAAGAAAGAAAGTAAATGTGAATAAAATAAATTTAAAATACATAAAAATATGATGTAACTTAGGGGCCGTTTACCTAAACACCTATCCGGTAAGCGATTAACGGTAAAATTCAACTCTATTGTTTACTTATCGGGTAAGATTTTAATCTACCAAAACGACATCATATGCAACAATTTACCTGGTAAGCTCTTACCGTGGTAAGAGTCGTCGCCATCACTTATCGGGTAAGATTATCGGTCCATGTCTTCGCTCTTACGAGGTAAGATTCTTGGTTCTTGTCATATTAATCCGGTAAGTGAATGTGACTTGGTAAACGTTTACCCAAATAAACATCCGATAAACGGCCCTTTAGTTTCATTGATGGGACAAAGATACAACCTGTGATTTTGGGACAGATTTTTTCTCCATACAACAAACATTTACATGATATGATGATACATTCTTGGATCTCAAGACAAAACTTACAAACATTTACATAATCATGCTCAAATGATAAGTGGATACCAGTTAGCGTTTGGTAAACAATCCGTTAGGAACTGTTTACTAGAAGCTTATTAGGCAAGTGCTTACCAATATCACTTATATTATATATTGATCAATTTGAGCATGACAAAAACCAAATTTTTTTTTTTTTGAAGTATATAATATTTATATACGACAAATGCAATAAATAAACTCACACACCCTCCTCACATATGGTGAGGTTTGAACCCCTGACCTCCTAAAAGGCCAAGGGCTATGATACCGCTAGGCCAAAGGCCCTTTGGTACCAAATCTTACCAAGTAAGAGGTATAACGAGGGCCGAGTCTTACCCGGTAAGCGACAAAAAAGACTCTTACCCCGTAAGCATGGTTTTAAGATCCTTGCCAACAATCAATTTTAATGTACAAGAATGCTACACGGTAAGGTAAGTGAAGGTGTTGTTTCTTGCCGGTAAACATTTGGTAAACGGCCCCTTACTCTTAAAAAACCCTTAAAAAGAATAAGAAGACTCCAACATTATTCCGAGAAATGATCCAAATCTAGTTGATGTGAGACTTAAAACACTCCCCCTCCAACAGAGGCCAGACAAGACAAAGGCAGATTGTCCCGAAGTGTCGAAAAGAGGCTAGACAGATACAAATTGGCACAAACGATATAGTCTCTTGAAATGATAAACCTATGTAAGAATAAAAGCGGTCATAGAAACGTCTAATTCCACTTTCAAAATACTAAAATCCCTGAAACAGGCCCTTTATTCTCTTAAAGTTCAAGAACAGACTACAAGTACTCGGCATGAATCAATCTGCAAAGATAAACAAATTCAAGACTTCTTCCGAATCATCGAAAACCTCGATGTTAAGCTACGAAAATGGAAAAACGAAAGTTACAAACTAACAACCCCTAATCTACAATGTCATCCATTACTTCGACAAGCAAGCCCAAGAATCGGAAGAACATACAAAACTTACATCCAATGGTTTACTGCTTCGAATCTTTGCTTAATAAGTACTTCTTGAGAACATCCATAACCGACCCAAAATCAGCCTTCACCTGAACCGGTGGATTAGCTAACCTGCAAGTCATTTCTGGGATCGATTTTGAATGGTAATCGATCTTGGATTGAGTAAACTTTAGCCCATGAGCCGTGCTCACCACAACGGTCCGGTCAGTAGGTCGAATCACACCGCTGTTTCTAAGCTTAACCAGAGCCGTTAATGCAACCCCAGTATGAGGACAAATGAACATCCCGGTTGAGTCCGCTTGAGCCATTGCGTCCATCAATTCTTCTTCGGTGGCTTCTTCCACAATCCCATTTGAATTCTTGAGAGCATAAACAGCTCGATCAATCGAAACAGGATCACCAATCTGAATAGCGGATGCGAAAGTGGTTTTAGCTTTCACCGGACTGAAATCCGACCATCCCGACTTAAAGTGAAGGTAAAGAGGATTCGCGTTAGCCGCTTGAGCGCAAACGAGCCGCGGAATCCGATCAACTAACCCTAACTCTTTGCACATATGAAACCCTTTATAGAAAGCATAAATATTCCCCAAATTTCCACCGGGAACAATCACCCAATCGGGCACTTCCCAATCGAATTGCTGCAAGATTTCTATGGCAGCTGTTTTCTGGCCTTCTAACCTCAAACTGTTCAAAGAATTAGCTAAATAGATCGGTAATTCAGCAGTTACTTCCCTAACTAATTGCATGCAACCATCGAAATCAGTATCAAGACTCAACACAAAAGCACCATTAGCAATTGGCTGAACTAATTGCGCCATTGAAATCTTGTTAGCTGGTAAGAAAACAATACTGGGAATACCTGCAGATGCACAGTAGGCAGATAACGCAGCGGAAGTGTCGCCGGTGGATGCACAACCGACTCCGACCACCGGACGGTTCATTTTACGCAACCGATTCACTTGACTAACCAATACAGTCATACCCAAATCCTTGAAACTTCCGGTATGACTAATCCCACAGTGTTTTACCCACAAATCATTCATGCCCAGATGGTGTTTGCCAAAACGCTCAGCCCAAAACATATTAGAATTACCTTCAAAAGCACTGACGATATCATCGGAATCAATCTCCGGCAACACCCATTCTTTCTTCGACCAGACTCCAGACCCATAAGGCCAGGTTGTTTTCCCGATGCGTGAATCAAAGAGGGCTTTCCAGTAATTCCCATCGAATTCCTTCAACGCATCCATATCATGTTGGACATCGAGTAATCCACCGGAACGGGATCGATAAACGATCTCGTCAAGCGAGTAGGATTCCGTGCAGTCAGGATCGGCGTTGAACGGGACGTATTTGGCGGAGAAGTTATCGCGTTCGGAGGAGCAACGGCGGTGGGCTTCTTGACGGATGCTTTCGTCTGCGGGGCGTCGGTGCTTGATGGCGGGTGTTGTTTCGATTGGTTTGTCGATTGTGGCTTTGATGGTGAGAAATTTAGGGGTAGTGTTGATGGTTCTAGGGTTTGGTTGTTGAGGGGAGAGGAAGAAAGGGGAAGATCGGAGAAGAGAAGAGGCCGCCATTGGAGGAGGGTTAGGGAAGAATGGAGGTGTGCGGCGGCGAGGTGGTTCGTTAGGGTGTTGGAGTGTAAACTTATACGAGTGGGCTGCTCACTACAGCCGACGAGTCCAGATTTGCTTCGTTTCAGACAAAAAAAAAATTGGATGATTTTTGATCGGTTTAAATACCGTTTTTTATAACTGCATACCGAACGGGCACAACTTAGGTGAATCATAGGCTTGCAAAACCGTCCGATATGTTTTTAGCTAGGGTGAGCAGCGGAACCGGGTATTTACTTGTGGAACAGGAATTACCTTGGAACTGATATGAGTGGTTTCGGTTCCTAAAATACGGAACCGATTAAGAATGGTTCCGGTTCTCAATTTTTCGGAACCGTTACTCGTCGGATATCCACCGCGACCGGTTCCGAGACCGGGTATCCGGAACTTTTCAATTAAAAAAATAATTTTTTTAAATACTAAATTTAAATTAGGTTAAGAAATTAGAACTCTAGATTCATAATTTGAGATAAAATGATTCGTATTTTTTTAAATTGTGTGTTTAATTGGATTCGTAGCATGTAATCGTTAAACTTTGAACATTTACAATTATAGTACGTAATCGTTAAACTTTCAACATTTACTATTAGTCTATTATGGTTTGTAATCTTTAAACAATATTTGTAATCATTATTCTGTATAATTTGTATTTTTGTTTATTTATTTAGTGTTTTGGCAATGTTTTATTTTTTATTTCTAAATAACAAAATTTTAATATTTTAGGAAGTGGGTACCAGGAATCGGAACCGGTTCCCGGCAGTTCCTGTTCCGGTTCCAAAAATTCAAGAACCGCTCTAACCGGTTCCGGTTCCAATATATCAAGAACCGCCGGTTCCAGTTTCGGTTCCTGTCAAATAGGGCGGGTACCCGCCTATGCTCACCCCCTACTTTTAGCCGAATTCCACGTTTTGGAGGGATTTTTTTAAGTTTTTTTGTTTGATTTCGAGGAATTTTTTCAGTTTGTTTTAGTCGATTTCGAGATACTTTTTCGGTTTTTTAGTTAATGTTTAATATATTTTCTAATATCACAAAGCACCTATGAAAATTAGCGGATGCACCTTTGATACCTAAAAACCTCCTACTTACAAAATAAGTTGAGCAGGTTTACAGGATCCCACTCGGTCATACATAGTCTGCCCCTGTGTACTGATTTATTTTATGGACAACTACAAATGAATTATAGTAGGCATGGCAACGGGGCAGAGATGGGGCGGGTTTTGTAATCCACGGTCCCGGTTTGTAGTAACGTCCCCAGCCCCGGTCCCCGGCGGGTACGGAGATTACCATCTCATCCCCGGTCAAATCTCTACTAATCGCCGGTCAAAACCCAATAAAACCCCATAAAATAGTATCTTTTAGTTTGATTCTACCGGGGATTCCCGGCCCCGGTTTGAGTAACACCCCCTGTCCCCGGTTTGAGTCTACCGGGGCGGGGATCCCCGGCCCCGGGACCCGTTTTAACGAGGAATCCCCGTCCCCATTCGGGTCGGGTGAACCGGGTTCCCCACCGGGTCAGGATAAATCACCATCCCTAAATTATAGTCATCGTAGATGAACTTTCATGACCACAAAAATCCGGTCCAGTTTACATACACATTGCTAAATTGAGGTTTTGGTCTCTCTTTTTTTTTTTCCAACTTTTGATGGTTTTGGTTTCTATATGTTTTTTTATTCTAAATTTGTTATTGTTGTATGTATTTTTGTTCTGTTTCCTTCCATTAACGAAGGTTACTTTTTGGCCTCGAGTCTTTTCTTGTATACGAGGGTAAAATTGTCTTTTTTCCTTTGTATGAATCATAATCGTAAAATAAAATCGTATAGATTCAAAAATAAAAGAACCAAGTATCGTATTCCACATGGATAAGTATCTTAAGTTGCAAGATCTCGAGGTGAAAGACTAACTTCAGATAGCATATTTGAAAGAAAATGTTTGGTTTTGAGTTATCACTACTAGAAATAACGAAATGTAAGGAAAAAAGCATGAGTGTAAGACTTTTGGTGAAACATAAATACAAATTCCAGGAGACAATTGTTGTGCAAATACCATAACAATAACTAGTTTCATCATCTATTTGCAGAATGTCTTCTCATGCTTAAACCATTATACTAACATTTAGTCCAAAGTTTAAAGTACATAAAAGTCAACAAAGTAGGTCAAGGAGGAATAAAAATCCCCTTGTGATCACGGAGTTTCATATGTGGTGACTCCGGGCTACCTATAAAGCAGATGGTCGTCCTGGGATTAGTCGGCTCGCATAGCAGGTTGGATATCTAGGTTAATAAAAAAAGTCAACAAACTACAAAAGCTAAAGTAATATCTAGACCTAATTAGTTCCATCCACGTAAATTTTAAGGGGTCTTCCAAATATGTTTTTCAAGCTACAAAAAAGCTGTCTTTAACATATCCCTTTGCTTTCTACGTTTTGCTCTTATTTCCCAAGCTTCTGCTCAATGCTACAACACAGACGCATCACAAACAGCTTTCCCAAAAAGTGAAATTTGTACTTCATAACTGTATTACAGATTAATCACAACCTTTGTTCCATAAAATAAGAAATCAAAAATCAGATAAAAGGACTTAAATTTGGGATATAAAAGGAAAATAAGATAGCTAAAAGGGAAGAAGTGAGTGTTATAACACTGGTGGAAGCAATACATATCAGTTTGCGTCTAACATCATATAGAGGAACAGGGACGAAAGAGGCAAGAAGGTCGAATATTAAAAAAGGTATCAGCTTTCTTTTCAATTTACAGTTTCCATCCACATCTAACAAGGTTTAGGGTTTTCTCACTTGTCAAAAGCTTAACGAATCACAAACCTCTACTGGTTAGGGTTTCAACACAGACCTCCATTGGTCCAAGGTTTAGGGTTCTATGCAAAAACAAGCGCAACAACATCTTTATGTTGTTGCTGCTATTGTCTACAAACATAAACAAAACAGAACGGATTTAAGACAGGGTTCTAGTTTGATTTGGCGACAGATGAGGAGATCATAAGCATAAAGTAAAGACCGTGAAGACGACGACACTTATGTTTTTCTTTTTTTCTTTTTGTATATGCATCTCTTCATCTTTTAATATTTAGATTTAGGCTTTAATTTCGATGAGTTATGTATCATAAAAGAATCTTGAGTAATTTGCATAATTTCATTGTTCACGTTCTTGACATTCTCTGGTACATCATGTGAGTTTCATGTTGCGAATTTGTCTATAAACGGAAATCAAACTTGGGTTTACTCACTCAGTTCTTGTTTATTCGTGTGTTGGGGGTCGAGATCAAGATTAGGGTTGAGGGTTTCATCTTCATGATGCTTTTAGGTTTCTTGATAAATATGGGGTTGCGAGCTTCATCTTGAAACTCGATCTTCAGGCTTCGTCTTGATTTTGGTTTGATTCTAGTGTGGAGGGGGTGGGATCGAACCCAGGACCTACCTTGAATATTCAGTACTCATTGTCAAACATTACCGTATTATATTAGTTTTTGGTGATTTTAGTCCGGTTCTTGGTTCTAGATTTTTAAAAATCAATTACTCGTTCAGTCTGATTCAAATGAGAATTGAACAGATTATTAAATTTTATTCTAAAACTGAAATGATGATAGTTTATGTTTATATCGTTTTATTAAAAACGATTCTAGTTATCCGGTTCATGGTCTAGCAAGGATTGGATTCCGCAATTGCCCCTATTTCATATGATTTGGTTTGATTTACTTTCAATAAACATCTGGATACATTATAAAATTGATAAGTATTTGAGATATTATGGGTTCGTTAAGTAAATTTTTATATACGTTTTTGAAGGTTGTAAATGATACAACAGGGAAGTAAGTAAAAATGCACAAGGTCTGAATTTTTTCGAATTTGAGTCTTTCAAGCCCGTTTTCAATGAGAAAACAAGCCCAATTTCTTTTTTTGATTAACCTGGATATCCAACCCGCTATACGAGCCGACTAATCTCAGGACGACTACCTGTTTAGGCCCAGGTTTTTTAGGTTCAGGTCGAGTAGGCTTTAGGGTTGAAAAAATAATGCATTCCCAAAGGCACCCTTCTTTTTCAAGAGGATTTACGACATGCCAAGTCCTGGTAATGTTTTTCACTTTGCATCAAATTAAATCACATGCGAGCTGATGAGACGCCTTTTAGAAGTATCAATATTGTCACATTCATGCCCAATCGGGCTTTTTCTAGGATGGGTTTTTGGGCCTTCCAGGCACAATTGGACTTTTCTAGGCCAGGGTTTTCGGGATAGGCCTACCCCAAAATTTCGGCCTGTCAGGCTATGAGGCTAGCCCGAACCGGCTTCAGGCTCATTTGGCCAGGGCTCTTTACGAGTCGGGCTTATTATGCCTGAGCTTTTTTCGGGTTGGATTTCGGGATTCAACTTCTTTGTGCATGTTGTAAATGATGCATATACGTCATGACTCTCATCAACAACCAGATTAGCCAAAAACACTTATATTAGTCGTCTAAAAACGCTTCAGCATATAATGCATGCCCTATCAATTCCCATATGAAAAAACTAACGGATGTTCATATCGATCAAGTTGGAGACTATATGGATTTTTAATACGGTTATTACAGGAATCCGCTTTTAGTTTATGGACATGCTAAACAATGATTAATCACAGTTCTTTTATATTACATTGATGGACGGTTGAGATTAAACCTTAGGAAAGCTTTACGATATTCTAATTGGAATTTAAGCCAACTTCTACACATGAATAAAGCAGTTTCCGTCACAAATACATCGTTTTCTTACTCGTAAAATCTATACACTGAGGTTTATAGGCAGCGATGAAAAAACCAAATCAACCCCACCCAGCCACGTTGCAATCAGATCGCATCAACAAACAATACCAACGTTAAAATGGTTTGTAGAGATACTGTTTAATTATACGAAATTATTTTTTTTGTTTCTACAATTCAGTCATTTTTAACTTCGATTTCTCTCTGTATTTATATAATTTGATTAGAATTAAGTTACGACTTCTCAAAATCTTTCCGCTTTGATCTTTTTAGCTTGTACATGTTTTTCCGTTTTCGTTTTTCTTTTCTCACCCGTAAAGGGGCGTTCGATTTGATAGAATACTTTTGAGGGATTTGCATTTTGTGGAGGGAATTGGATTTCAGATCTCATTGTTGTGTTTGGTTTGTAGGTTTTGGAATGAAATTGGATTTCATTACTTACAAATAATTTATAGAAATAATAATAAATAATTATAAAAATAATTGAATTACATTTTTATCAATCGATTATTACAAAACAAATATTTTTAACATTTTTTTAAAACCTTATTACATACAATCTTACAAAATTTCATGCACTCCCTAAGGATTTCAAAATCTTATATTTGAAGGATTTCAAATCCAGACAATCCAACAAACCAAATATATGATTGTTTCTATGGCCCCCAAACACAAATTATTTATAAACAAACAAATCTTTAAAGAAAAAACTAGATTCCATTTCAAACCGTACAAATCAAACATAGTAACGATACAAAATCCTTCCAGGAAATCTAAAACCCTCACAAATATTCCGTCAAACTAAACAGACCCTTAGAACATTTCTTAAAACAAAGGACTGACAATTCATGAAAACGAAAGACGAAAAGGGCCAAAACAGCACATTTCACATGACGAGAAACAAGAAATCTTGAAATAAAAAAAAAGAAGTCGATGATCGTCCAAAACACAACACTCGGACACAAAAACAACAACGAAACAGATCAGATATTATTCTTCTCTACCCGTTTCCCAATTTCCTATTTTGTAGGTCCCGTCCAGAACGGGATGAACAAACACTTGGTTAATCACGTTTGTACGTTTAGATGGGACCCACAAAATAAAAAAGATCAGAAAAACCGAAACTATTTGATAAGAGGGTATTTTTGGGAATTCTTGACAATCTTGGAGAGAGCAGCTTGGCCAAGATCAAGGCCACAAACATCAGCAAGCTGAACCAAATACAACAAAACATCAGAGATTTCTTCTTCCAAATGCTTTTTGTCATCAATGCTCCAATTTGGTAACCCTCTTTCCACTTCTCCTTTCCATTGGAATATTTCTGACAACTCTCCCACTTCCCCTACCTGCCATACACATCCATTAGATATTACTATCTTCGTTTCACGAATGGACCAAAACCGTTAAGAATTGATAAACATAGGGACCAAAACCGTTAAGAATTGACAAACATAGGGACCAAAACCGTTAAGAATTGACAAACATAGGGACCAAAGCCGTTAAGAATTGATCATGTCCGAGTTTTTGAAGTTTAGGAACGATATCCATTAAAAACTACAAAAATTAAGGACCAAAATTGAACTTTACTCTAAATTACATTTACTTTTTAATTAACTAGAAGGATACTCGCGCAATGCAGCGAGATACATCGTTTCGTTTTATATTTTGGGTCTATTAATATTATGATGCTATCTGGTTCAGAGAAAAAGAAAATTTTATTTTTTAATGAAATATAAATTTGAAAATATCATAAAATTTTGAAAAAAAAATTAAGTGATATTAGTAGTAAATTAACTATTTATAAGTTCTCGTTTTTATGTAATTTCTTTGATTCAAATTTTTATTATAATTTAATTGAAATTTAAAAACAAATTCATTTATATTTGGTTTAACAATATAATTTATTTATAAAGATAATAATTAATTATTTTGTTAGAACTCAATATTATCCCAATTATATTTTAAAATTAAATGTTTATCCTTTATTTGATTATGTTTATACGCAGTTAGTTACACGAATTCAAACATGGAGCTTTAATAAGTTGTACTTACGCACGATTTACTTGTAATTTTGAATTTTAAGTAATATGCATCAATAAACAATATTTCATGTATAAAAAATAGTTTTTAAGATTTTTTTATCAAATGTTTTGTAATATAGTATAGATTCAATGATAATTTTACCTGAATAATAGAGGGTAGAACTGAGAAATAGTTATTTTACTTTTGAAACTAGACACTTATTTTGAGGGGTTGCTAAAGTTACTCCTTTAATAAGTGGTTAAAAGTTAAAATTCATTTAAAAGTATCCAAGTATTATAAGTTCGAACAACATCCTAATCGTTAGAATTTAATAAAACTTTCATCTCCTCGGGTGCGAGTTTTTCGACCCGCTCAGAGATATTCATACAAAAGTCCATGAAAATTTGACTGAATATGGTTTACTTACATGATACACGAAACCAATCAAATTTGATTAATACAAGGTGTGTCACCTTTTCATAGTTGATAGGTATGTCCAATTGTTGTAACGACTAACGAATCGTCCTAAGTGTGACCAGGAATAAGCATAATTCAAGAAAGTGTCGACTAAAATGATTGCCGACATTTATACAACAAACCAATCAAATTTTATAATATAGTTACTAAACACGTACCCGGTAAGCATTTGACAAAAACTCTTAAAACGAAGTATATGAAAAGATGCAACTTACCAAAGCTAAGAGGAGATTTCTGGGGCTGTGGTATTGGTCCCAGTTCCTTACTTTAGCAAACTCTGCCACCTTTTCTCTCAGTTCTTCCAGTGAAACATCTTTGAACTTTCTGCATGACTTTTGTGAATTCTCCATCTTCAATCAAACTCCAAAAGAATCCTGTGTGTATTAGGTAACTTCTGCACTTCTATTTATAGGAAAACTCAACATGTGTTCATGATATATATATATATATATATATATCTATATAATATAGAGAGAGAGAGAGAGAGAGTGACTAGATATCACTAACTCACGCCACCTGCACTAATCCTGAACCGAGAACATGTTGGCTCTAGCCAAAGGGTCCGGTGGCATCTAGGTTACTGATAGATCCCAACGATCTTAGAGGTCAAGGGTTCGAGCGTTACCAAAAGTGAGAAGTGTGTGTGAGTTTTGCCGTATATAAATATTATATACTTTAAAAACATGTCAAAGTAGATCATTTAGATTTGCCCATGGCTATGAGTCTATGGTTATATTCTCAATCTATCACTGGTGTGCATTGTAATCAATAAAATGAACCTACTAAAATCTCACATGGATTAGGGTCTTATTGTTTCAACATGACACGGACGTTCCAATCTTTTTGGAGGTATTGCTACGTCCAAAACTTTTGATTACATTGCATAAATGAGATGACAGATGATATATATTAAGAATAAAAATGGGTTAAACCTAAAACGATTAACAATCTGAAACTAAACCTAAACCAATATTGATTTGAACCTAAAACCAAATAAGTAAAATGGTTTGAACATAAATAATTTTGGCTATAGTTTTACATAGGTCGATAAAAAGACCCTAAACACATGTAAATTTGGGCCACAAAATTTCCGAGGCCCTATTTAAAATCTCACATTTAACATGCTAAGGGACGAGCCTGTTTCATGTATCCCATACGAGTGTACAAGGTATACATGCTAATATAACAACTTATTTTTCTTTGTGTTTGTGTTGGAGTCCCACATCGGCTAGATTTTGGCTATTTTTTCTTCCAATATATCCTGGAACCTTTCTTCTCTCGTCAAAGTCTCTTTTGAAGAGTAATCTAATTGGGTTCCACGTATTCTTACATGGTATCAAAGCAAAGATACCGTCTACCACTCTAGGTGGGATAATCTTGTGCTCATTTAGCATCACTTGAAGACTTTGACAATTTCTCTTCAATATGTGTTGGAAGTTGGAACCTTCCTTTTTTCCTCAAAAGCTCTTTTGGAGAGTAATCTAACAGGGTTCCAAATATTCTTGTTCTACAGTTGAGCACAGTTTTCCTATTACAAAAAAGCTCTTGGCTTCTTTATGTCCATCCATCCACCTACTTTGAGGCACTATCCCAAAACACATGATCTACTTGTCTCCCTCCCTTTCTTGCTTACAGGCATAATTATTGGACATATTACATACATAGTACAATCATCTATAGACATGTTATAGACCATTAAAAGGCAGGAAACTCGAATACCTTAAATCGATGGGAAATTTGTTTGTCCCGATTCCAGCACCTCGACACACAAATCTCATGGATGGTTCTGCACTAGAAGAACCGTGTGGGAATACGAGTTAAGTTGAGAAACGTTAGAAGGGTTTTGGACCCTTTATCACTTTTTAATCTCACCTCCACCCCATGAATTGCGCTTCTCACGGGAATTGATCCGGTATATCTTGGCGCTTTTCCTTAGAGTTGAGATCTTTTCTTACCTTTCTCACTATAACTTTCATTCTTACCGGAATCCAAATATATTTGGTGGATGTTGCTAATCCTAAACAGTGGAAATCTATGATGGACAAGTATAGAAGAAAGGTATATTTGATATTTGTTGGGTGATGATAGGTTGGTAAGGTAAATGGAAACTGCATCAATGGCTTTTGTCTGATTGTGACCACATGTTTATTTTGCTTTTGTTTGTGATCTTCTAACCTCTGCTTTTTTGGTCTCTTTATATCCCTTCCTTCTAGACTTGGACCCCCCTCCCAACCAATCAAAACTTAGGATTACTCAACTCTTTTTAACCACTTTTGTTATATATATATATATATATATATATATATATATATATATATATATATATATGGGTTAGTTCAAATACTAACCAAGATTTTTGTGTTAACTTTGTTAACCAAGCTCAACCAATCATATTCCATCTTTTCTTTAGGTTCATATATAACTCATATATTAATAACAAGGGTAATTAAGTAATTTATCATTTATGTAACTCCCAAATCATTAATTGGGAGTTACAAATATAAAAATCTCAATAATTGATAATTATGTAATATTGATATTTTTTTATACGTGTTCATGTTTTGTAATTTTGATTTATTCTATCCATAATGATATTGATTTTATAATTGTTAAAGAATTTCCGATTTTAAAGATTTCGATATCGTCCGACGAATATGGATAAACCTATTGGAAAACAGATCAACAACAATGATAATGAAAAGGTTAAAATCGTCTACGGCTACAATCGGAATTCGAATTCATATGTAATTGTTAAAGAATTGTTCACAAGTGTTCATATATATACTAGCTGCATATCTCAACATTGGCTTGCTCCTGAATGTGTTCATAATGAAGGAACTATTATTCACAAACTGTTCGTATTGTGTTCATATGTACACTAGCTGTATATCTCAACATTGGCTTGCTCCTGAATGTGTTCATAATGAAGGAACTATTATTCACAAACTGTTCATATTGTGTTCATATGTACACTATCTGCATATCTCAACATTGGTTTGCTCCTGAATGTGTTCATAATGAAGGAACTATTATTCACAAACTGTTCATATTGTGTTCATATGTACACTATCTGCATATCTCAACATTGGCTTCCTTCTGAATGTGTTCATAATGAAGGAACTATTGTTCACAAACTGTTCAGATTGTGTTCATACCTGTTTTTTATTTATTTACTTTCGTGTAACAACTATTCTTATTATATTCATATTGTGTTCATAAATGTTATACAATCTAAGTTCATATGTATGTCAATTTTTGTTCGTATTTGACACAATGATTCATGTGTGTGTGTGTGTTCTTATGGTTCGTATATTAACAAAAATAAATTAATAAAAATAATGAGATTTTTTGATTTTGTAACTCCCAGTTAATGATATGGGAGTTACATAAAAAAAATTACCTAAATACCCTTTTCCCCTTTGTTCACATATGTTCTTTGAAATTGTAAATTTAAAAATTTAATTTTTAATCATGATTAATCATAACCCTTTATTGTAAGAATCAATGATCAAGATTGGTTAACAAAGTTAACACAAAAATCTTGGTTAGTATTTGAACCATATTGTGTTCATACATGTTTCATATTCATGTGATGTGCTTGTGCATATGTATCGATATGAACATCTATTGCCTTTGATATGTATTCATTTAAACGAATTCAAATGTCATACTAATCACTTACCAATAGGAATGATTTGATCATCTTCTTCATTATCGGAATTCGAATTCTGACCGTAGTCGTAGACGATTTTAACTTTGTCATTTCTATTGTTGTCAATATCTTTTACAATAGGATTATCCATATTAGTCGGACGATACAGAAATCTTTTACACTTACAAAAACAATATCATTATATGTAGAACATCACTTGAAAATTACGATCATGAACACGTATGAAGATAAAATTCAGAATTACATCATGATCAATTAGTGAGATTTTTAAGATTTGTAACTCCCAATTAATTATTAGGGGGTTACATAAAGGTCAAATTACCTAATTACCCATGTATTTAATATATGAGTTACATTTGAACATAAAGGTCAAATTAATTATTAGGAGAGGTCGGTCTTCACAAATAATTTTTACTGTGTCAAATTGCTGACTGATAATCTTACTGGATAAGAGATGTTTATGCTATGCTATTTTGACAACTAGAATCTTACCCGATAATGTAAGATAATCACAAGAGTTGTGGCATAGTGGTTAAGGTCTTGTGGATGTGATAGAAAATCTCATCTGTCCACGGTTCGATTTCCAGGTGTACAAAACAATTGTAGTCACTGAATTTATCACAACTGATTTCTTACAATCACAATTTGCCGGATTAGTCCAGGCTCACCCTCCCCACAAAATGCATTTTTTAATTAAAGAGACAATTTTTGGATCTAGGAGATAGACCAGGCTTCGGAACTGAAAACTGTTTCCAAGTTGAAGGTGGCCTTGGATTTGAAACCACTTCTAATAACATTCATTTTCAGATAATTCTCCATGAAAACAAAATTAATCTATTATTTTTTATTTATAACATCTTGATGCATGAAACACATATTTGATCCAGAAGAAACTACCGACTGATCATTGAACCATCATGCGGTCATATTGGATACCAAATCAAGAGAACCCGAATATTAACCCCAGCTAGCAAAAAGTTTACGACAATGGTACGAAAGAGTCATTTACATCATAGCATGACGTCGATCGGGTCGGTAGAATCTCGGAAAAATTTATTGTTATATATAGAAAATATTGTATTTATCGATTTTGATTTGCAACTTGTTTTTGCTGGTATTCATCCCTATAAACGTACCATAGATTCATTGGGAGCTAGACTTTCGGTCGTGACATTTGACTATCTACGATACTTGTCCTTGCGAAATGTTCAAAAACTAGAATGTGTTGGTGGCGAAGGCAAATTTAGTATACGTTCGGGCGCTCCTAACGGCATATACTTCATAGCACCATTTATCGTCCGGAACAAACTCGCCACTTTGAACATACACTGAACCATTATCACTTTGACGTGATTTCATATTTGTGTTAAGGATTGTGATGGTATATTGTGTTTAAATGTTAAGGGTCGTGAAAGTATGAGTGTTTGGATTATTATATTTTCATGTTTGGATTACTACAGTTATATATACTACATTTGGTCCTACAAAGACAAAATACCAATGTAAATCAACCCTCTGTCTAGTCACGTTGTCATTGAGTTGTCAAATCAACCAAAAAGTTGTGTCATATAATATCTCCACTACAAAACAAAATAAAAGTCAAAATTGGGCGCAATTTTGATGAAAGTGTCAAAAATCAGATTTTTGACCCCAAATGGTATACATATGGGACCATCC